TTAGATTCACGTATCCACCTGAAAAAGAGGTCGAAATTTGTTCTTTTGTTTGACACTAAAACTATAAAGAAATAACAAACTGTTTTTCCATTTTATTGTTTTTCATTTTTAATTGTAATTTAAAAGAACGAATAGTACACGGATCACAAATTTGTCCTTCTTCAACTCATTTTTTTTCTTTTAAACGCCACATAATTCACTATTTTCTGATTTGTTTTAATGTTATTTCCTCATCAAAAACAGACCTGAAGTTGTGTTTTGTTTCTTTCACTCAAGTTTAACGCACAAACCTGCAAATTTAGGCCGAGTTTTTCTCTCAAACAGAATACGGGAAGTGCTCCGTTGTGTTTTTAAACTCCACACACCTTCACTTGAATCATTTGGATCATTTCAGCCCTGGAGTTGACGATCTCTACTGAACAAAAGGCGAAAAGACTTGAAAACTACAGCTTCATGACATCACAAGGTGGAGCAGAGCATTTTGAGCTTTAGCGACACAGACAGACTAATAATAAAGGATTACTCAAACTTGTGTGAATGAAACAAAACACAACTCCGGGTATTAGCAGAAGAGAATATGCAGAGCGCTTCACTGAGTCATAAAAAAGTCAAAGGTAGCGGTGCAGGTGCTCGACGAGGGTTGAACTTGAAATCAGAACAGAACATAATTATTACTGAAAAATGTAAAAGTGGGTAAATAAACAAACCTGATGCACACAAACTGAATATATTAAAGGGACAGTCTGGAATTTTGGATATAGGACCTCATTTCCTCGAGATCCAGAGTGTTGGAGACGTGTGGAGACACTTTTTTAAATATTCCATCCAGTCTTTGTATTTGCAGAGGTCACTGGTGTTAGACTAGTGCATGTCAATTAGGTCTAAACCAGAACTAAACCAGAACTGAACCAGGTCTAAACCAGGACTAAACTAGGCCTAAACCAGAACTGAACCAGGACTAAACCAGTTGTAAACCAGGACTAAACTAGGCCTAAACCAGAAATGAACCAGAACTAAACCAAAACTGGACCAGGTCTAAACCAGAACTGAACCAGGTCTAAACCAGAACTAAACCAGAACTAAACCAGAACTGAACCAGGTCTAAACCAGAACTAAACCAGGTCTAAAACCCAGAACTAAACCAGGTCTAAACCAGAACTAAACCAGTAAACCAGTCTAAACCAAACTAAACCAGGTCTAAACCAGTAAACCAGAACTAAACCAGAACTAAACCAGTCTAAACCAGAACTAAACCAGAACTAAACCACTAACTAAACCAGGTCTAAACCAGCTAAACCAGGTCTAAAACTGAACCAGTCTAAACCAGGAGAAACTAAACCAGAACCATGAACCACTAAACCAGGTCTAAACCAAAAGTCTAAAAACCAGGTCTAAACCAGAACTGAACCAGGTCTAAACCAGAACTAAACCAGAACTAAACCACTAAACCAGAACTGAACCAGGTCTAAAAACCAGAAAACCAGAACTAAACCAGGTCTAAACCAGGTCTAAACCAGGTCTAAACCAGGTCTAAACCAGAACTAAACCAGTCTAAACCAGAACTAAACCAGAACTGAACCAGGTCTAAACCAGAACTAAACCAGTAAACCAAACTAAACCAGAACTGAACTAAACCAGAACTAAACCAGGTCTAAACCAGAACTAAACCAGAACTAAACCAGGTCTAAACCAGGTCTAAACCAACTAAACCAGTCTAAACCAGGACTAAACCAGGTCTAAACCAGGACTGAACCAGGTCTAAACCAGAACTGAACCAGGTCTAAACCAGGAACTGAACCAGGTCTAAACCAGAACTGAACCAGGTCTAAACCAGGACTGAACCAGGTCTAAACCAGGACTGAACCAGGTCTAAACCAGAACTGAACCAGAACTAAACCAGGACTAATCTTGGACTAGAACTTAGAATTTAGGACCGGCCCTGAGAGAACCCTGAGCGTGATCTGGCGTCAGCCCCGTGGTGCACTGGTCCTTTCACTCGCGGTGGAGACACTTTTTTAAATATTCCATCCAGTCCTTGTATTTTCAGAGGTCACTGGTGTTAGACTAGTGCATGTCAATGGTCATAGTTTTCCTGCCGCTAAAAACAGTCTTACCCACTCCATCCATCCATTTTCTTCTGCTTATGCGTAGTCTGGTCGCAGGGGCAGCAGTCTAAGCAGGGACTCTCAGACTTCCGTCACCCCAGACACATCCTCCAGCTCCTCCGCGGGGACCCTGAGGTGTTCCCAGGCCAGCCCAGAGAAACAGTCCCTCCAGTGTGTCCTGGGTTTTCCTCTGGGCCTCCTCCCAGTGGAACATGCCCGGAACACCTCCTGAGGGAGGCGCCCAGAAGGCATCCGGAACAGATGCCCGAGCCTCAACTGCTTCTCTCGACATGGAGGAGCAGCGGCTCTACTCCGAGCTCCTTCTGTGCGTCTGTCAGTCTTACCCACTCCACAAAACACCCGAAGCAAATCCATTATTACACCAGACTGTCCATGTAAATTAGCCAGGCTGGGGCCTCCTAGTGTTTCCGCTTATTTAATATATAATAATATATTTAATATCTAATTTAATTTCTCTCCAGCGACTAGGTCAGGAATAAGAATACATTAGACGGTTCACAAAAACCCTCAAAGTGCGAGTTCGGGCACCAGCCAATCAGTGAAGAGTCATATATTCAGTGTTGTGAACGATTCCCGAGATCGAGGATTTAAAGCAGGAACAAAGAGAATGTTGGAAGAATTTTATCAAGGGGAAAGACATTATTGCCCTTCTTCTTACGGGATTTGGGAAAAGCTCAATATACCAGTTAGTCCAGTTAGCGGGGCATTACACACGTCAGGATGTCATGGATGTCAGGTCATAGCAGCGATTGGTTAAATAAAAAAAGAACTCGTATACAGTTGAGCGAACGAATCCTCATGCTGTGAGGTCAGACAGTTTCCACAAAGTGAAACCAGTTGATGAATCAAACTAGATGTAAATGTTTGTGTTGATAGAATCATTTTAGAAGTAAAACCAGCATTGCATTTGAAGGATTTATGTCTGAGCAGCAGCAGTGAGTTGTTCTTCCTGATAGAAAGTTTGGCAGCGGCGGACTGATATATGAGAAAATAGTCCCTCAACATGCGACGATTCATGCGACGCAAGGTTAAATTTATTTCAAACATTATTCTATCAACACAGACATTTACATCGACAGTCTGGTGTAATAATAGATTTGTTTCCGGTGTTTTGTGGAGTGGGTAAGACTGTTTTTAGTGGCAGGATAACTATGGCCATTGACATGCACTAGTCTAGTCAAAATTCCGACCTGTCCCTTTAAAAGTACTTTATAACTCGACTTAAAGCTCACAAGAGTCAATTTTCCTTAATATAGGACCTTTAAAAGCTTATTTGGATTATTTATGACATTTTATTTGTCTTTTTTTCAAACTGTTACACTGTGAAAATGCCAAACAAAAAAGTGAAGACCGCAAACTCACTTTATTAATTGTCAAACCTTTATAACTGTTATAATTTACCGTCATATAACTTCCCACTGTCTATTTTACAACACCGCAAAAACTCATTACTCAAAACCATCCGCTACTCTCTCCCGGTACAGACATTTAATTACAACTCATTTTGTATATTCATTTTCGCTGTCACGCTCTTTGGGCCGAGCAACATCTCCCATTAATATCCAGAAATTAAAGCTTCACTGTGTAACTTTTGTTGGTTTGCCAGGAACGTGCCAAAATATTAACGTTAAAAATGCACAGATGGAGCGACAGGTCCGATTTCGATTTTTGTGTGTGTCTTGTACGTGTTAAGAAATTGACAAATAAAGGCATTAGATTGTAAAAATATCCATCTCCGTGACAACAAGCTGGTAGCACCGATGAGGATAAGGTACAGTTTAGATCTGCGGAGAGGCGAGCCCAGTCAGAGTCACACTCACACTCACAAAGCTTGTTTATTAAAGGTCCTATATTACGCAAAATTGACTCTTGTGAGCTTTAAGTCGTGTAATTATTTATTTATCAACATCTCCGAAGCTCAAAACACTCTGTTCCACCTTGTGATGTCACGAAGAGGCAGTTTTCAAGTTCAAATTTTACCTTTTGTTTAGTCGAGATCGGAAATTCCAGGCTTGAAATTGTCCAAATGATTCTAGCGAAGGTGTGTCTTGTATATGTGAAGAAATCGACAAAAAAAGGCATTTGTTCATAAAAATATCTATCTCCGTGACGACAAGCTGGTAGCACCGCTGGGGGTGAGTTACGGGTTAGATCTGCGGAGAGGCGAGCCCACTTACACTCACAATCACAAAGCTTGTTTATTAAAGGTCCGATATTACGCGAAATTGACTCTTGTGAGCTTTAAGTCGTGTAATTCATTATTTATCTACGTCTCCAAAGCTCAAAAACGCTCTGTTCCACCTTGTGATGTCACGAAGTGGTAGTTTTCAAGTTCAAATTTATCCTTTTGTTTAGACCGATGGAGGCAAGTTACAGTTTAGATCTGCGGAGAGGCAACCCCACTCACAGTCACACTCACAAAGCTTGTTTATTAAAGGTCCTATATTATGCGAAATTGACTCTTGGGAGCTTTGAGTTCTTTAATTCTTTATTTATCTACATCTCCAAAGCTCAAAAACGCTGTGTTCCACCTTGTGATGTCACGAAGTGGTAGTTTTCAAGTTCAAATTTCACCTTTTGTTCAGTCAACATCAGAAATTCCAGGCTTGAAATTGTCCAAACGATTCTAGCGAAGGTGTATGGAGTTTAAAAACACAATGGAGCTCTTTCTGTATCACCACATGACATCACAAGGTGGAACAGCGTGTTATCAGTTTGAGAGAAGAACTCAGCCTCGGGAAACAACATTAAAACAGATCGAAAAACATGATAAAACAGGCACTTTTGAGCACTAAAAACGCGTGGATGATTTTAAAGCTTTACTCAGCAGGAAAGAAAAGTTCCACAGTGCCGCTTTACTAAACCAGCGCTTACCTTTTTCTTGGCTTTACAGTGACAGCAAACGGTCCACATGTATTTTAGCGTTCTCCAGAGCAAGATTATAAAAAGTCCCCCGAAGAAAGTGACCATGGACGAGGCGAGGAAAGCCCACCACATCCGCTGCCCGTGATGGTCGCACGGCACGTCCGGGGAGAACGGAATTATCATTTTGGAAATCTGTATGGACGGATCCGGGTTGAACCTGTCCCTGCTGTTTTTCGGCATTTTGGGTGGCTTTATGGCTCAGTTGACGTAGCTGTGGGTAGGTAAACAGGTGGAGTCAAGCACGTTCGGCTGCTCGGGGTGGTGGGGGGACTACTCTGGCCATCGCCCCCGGGAACACTCGCCTCCTCCCGGCCATGATCGCAACCACCGACCCCTTAAGCCCACCTGCTGCTTCGGAGGTTAGGGTACAAAGGCGTAGAAGAGCCGAAAAACAACCCTCAAAAACTTCCTTTGGATCCGGGGGAAATCAGCTGGTCATGATGGTGGAGGTGTCATCTTTTCGAGCCGTGCGTAAAAACCGTTCGAAATGATCCCCCCCCCAAAAAAAGTCGCTATTGTCTGGAAACTACGCCAAATTACGCATCGTTCCAGCGCGTTTCACTCAAAAGAAACGGGTCCGTACTCCGATAAAGAAAGATGGAGCGATGGGGGAGAGCACGGCACACTGTTGAATGCGATGCAAAAACTCAAAAAAAATAACATTAAAATAAAAATCCTCTCGCGTTTATCGTAAGCGTCTTTCTAAAAATATCACGTCTCCATTGTGTTCGCAAAGCGCGTGATCGTGCGTAAAGATCGTAGTCTGGCTGTATTGTTGGCTTCGTTTGTTTTGGGAAGATGGCATCGGTACAGTCACAGGTAGCACCAAAGCAGGAGACGAGAGAGGAGAGGGACAGAGGGAGAAAGGAGGGAGGAGAGAGACGGAGAGAGGGAGAGAAAGAGGGAGAGGGAGCGCGAGAGAGAGGAGAGAGAGGAGAGGGAGGAGCCGATGCCTATCTCCAAGCGGTTATTTATAGTGATCACTTCATCCATTTTGAATGATTTTAACTTTGTGCGGTACCGTGCGCACTGGAGCGGGTTTCACGGAGCGTAAATGAGGAGTTTTGTCGCGTTAAACACAGAAATCGGAAGTAACGAAATACAAATATCCAAGTTACTGTAACTGAGTAATTTTTTTTTTTTAGTAAATCTACTTTTTAAACTACATTTTTCAACCCGTATTTGTAATTGAGCGTAATTCTAGCCATGTAAATGTAATTAGATACATTGCAAATCATTCGAGTCACGGATTAGGCCTAGTGCACGAGCCCATCTGTTCTAATGGCCGATGCATGTTATATTTTACAGTTTAATTCATGAAGTGTTTCGTATAAGCTACAAAAGTGATAAAAAAAATGCTTCTAGACTAGGCCAAGTAGTACTTTAGATGCGTAATTTTTAGTTTTGCGTAACCCAAGTATAATTTTGGTAGTAGTATTTGTAGCTGAGTACACTATTGGCTATGTAACAGTACTTTTACTTGAGTAGAATTTTTTTTTTTTAGTAGCTGCCTCTTCCACTATAGACGTAAAGAGTAGCGTTTCAGACTGAACTGTGAGCGTTAATGGTGAATTTATGCCATTTTTACGCACAATAGTGAAATATGACACTATAAGCGTGTCCAAAATAAAGGTAGATTATAATCTAATGTTAGGTTTTATGGTTCCAAATGCATTTCTATTTGTTTATTGTATAAAATATATTAAATTAACGTTAAAGGAAATTGGTATGTGACTGTACGTGCTCGAAATTGCCGTAATGTACGAGTTCAAGTGCTGAGAATATTGGCGATGCAGTTCCGAGTGGCGTCCGCGCCCTCTACTGGACAACAACGTGAACTGCTCCATGGAAGCAGCTAATGGGGATTTCATGCTCATCAAACCATCTAACAAATTCAACAAGGCTTTAAGAGAATAGTTGTGTTAAATCAAAAGAAACCATGTGGTGTGGAAGTGACTAAATGAATTTAAGAAAAAGTACTGAAGTACCCCTTTAAAAATGTCTACTTTCAGAGCAAAAGTAGCATATTTGAGAACTATTAAAGAGTGAAATGTAATGATGTTGTCAAAGAGTTGTGCCAATATTTGGTCATTTGAAAAGACAGTTTAACATTAGTGCACGTTTGTAGTTGTGACATAAGGTTTTTTGAAAGGTCATGTGTATCTTAATCATTTAGAAAGAACTACTACTACTACATCTGCTACTGCTTCTCCTACCACCGCCTGCTCCCACTAGAGGTGGGACTTGTGAGTCATGACTTGAGTCACTATTTTTAGGACTTGAAATTTGACTTGATAAAATGGATCAAGACTTGGGACTCGACTTGGACTTGAGAAGACTTGATGCTTCTCCTAAAAACTTGATATAACTGCAGTACTGTGAGATGGTGTGTTCAAATGTACTACAGTAATATACAGTAAAACTGAGGGGACTTGCACGTAGAACATGATCCTTCATGCCAAAATAACTGTTATTTAGCACTTTTAAATGAATTATTTCTATTTTTATGATTCACACCGAGATCTTTTCAAGACATTTAAAAAGGGAAAAAAAATTACATTTCTACAACTCTTACATACTCATAAAATATACCACGACTTTTTATGTAGTTTCGTTTAAAATTCATATAAATTGCAAAAATCAAAGCTATATCTGGTACTTTAAAGACTTGAAATGACTAAGATCAAAGCAGACGACTTGGACTTGACTTGGACTTGACTTGGACTTATGGGCCAGTGACTCCAGACTCGACTTGGCCTCAACTTAAACTTGAGGTTAAAAACTTGAGACTTGCAAATCGACTTGGTCCCACCTCTGCCTACTCCTACTACTCTCCCTACTATTACTCCTACTACTCCTACTACTACCCCAACTACTCCTCCTTCTACTACTAACTACTTTCAAAATTTCATACAGAAGACATCAAATATAATGTAAGATAAATGGAATTATGTAGTAAAGATTGTTTTCATATAATTTTTCAACAAAGCAACATCATTTGCTACTTTGAGGAAAAAAAATAAATAAAAAATAGTACTGTACGTTTCCCTTTGCTACATAATTCCATACTTCTGATGTGTGTATAGAAATACAGATAGTAGTAAAATTAAGAGTTAAGCATTTTAAAGTCAAGTCTTATTATCCCTCCTAAAATGACAAATAAACAACCCAGGGAATCTAACCCACAACCTCCTTTTAACGAGGCAGTCCCACTAACCCCTGTACCACCACACATCCAAAAGTAAAAAGTCATTTTCCATGTATTTTTTTATTCTTTTGTAGAAATTCGAACCTTCATTGACAGTTGGACAGTTAATAAAAGTTAAATCTGAAATGTATTATAGAGATTGACAAAGAATCCCAGTGGTAAAGTGAATTATCCCACCAAAATAAAAATAAAAAAAAAACAACAAAATATACCAAGACATCCCTTCTTTATCAGCAGGTATGGTTAAAATGTTGTTACACGGACTTATTTTATATATATATTTCCTTCTTGGCACGATAGTTGAAATGCTGAACGAAAATTATAACATACAAGTCTTTATAGCCCCTGATTCCTCCACTATAAATAAGAATAAATGAAAATATAATATAAGTCTTTAAAAACTACACAGCTACAGGTATAAGCTTTGTGATAATATAAATTAATATGGCAGGATATACAAAAATAACATGAGTACAGTGGTCCTATTCAGATTTCAACAACGGTTTTTAATATATTGTGTAGTTATATTTATAAAACTTCACGTGGTCCGTTAAAATTCTATGACAATTATTCAAGTAAGTGTCCTAGCCCAAGACTGTCTATAAAAGTGGATAAAGATTTTGGCATTTTAAAAGATATAATAATAATACAATAAAATCAGGTGACAGAAAAGTTACATAGTGTAGCTTTAAAAATATTATAATTAGCAACAAGCAAATCTGAAAATAAACCGAACAAGACAGAAAGAAAAAGATGACGCTACAGTAAACGGAGTGAGGGCTAAGTTAGCATGTAGCTTCAATCGGTGCTAACTATGCTAGAAAATACTTTGGCCTTATTTGTGAAAAACTATCATAAAAAATAAAATAAAATGATTGCAGGTTTAAATAATGGCGTACCAATAAAAAAATGATTTGTCAGAGAAAAACAAACACGAAAAAATTAAATATGTAAGAAGAGGAAGCATATTTGTAGCATGTCGTCATAGCAACAACTGGTAGCACAACTGCTAACTTTACTATTTCAAAGTTTTCCCAGTTGTATTACTGCATAGCGCTCACGAGACTAAAATGTTCAGCAAATCTGGATTAAACCTTTAAATATTCAGACAATTATTTAGTTGAAATTATAAAAGCAAGAATCCCGTTTTTGTTTTGGAGCTAATGCTAATGCTAATGCTAACAGTACCTTCGGAGCTAACCTAAACGCTTTCTTCCACTTTTATTGACAGTCCCGTGTTTGTTTTCATCTCTATTGTAAACAAGTCTATTCTCAGTAAAGTATTTTAGTGGAGTGAAGTCAGCAGTGCTAAAAGTGAAGGGCTGAGAATTAAAAGGAAGCGATTTTATTTAAAAATGTCAAACGTTTTGGAAATGATGAGCGCTAATAACGAAAACAGCAGCTGCGTTTTGTCGTAATTGTCTGGAGTTGTGTTAGTTTTGCCTTTCGTTTAACAGATGTAGCAACAAATGTAGATTTTTTTATCAATTATTTCATATCTGTGTACTAAAATATGAAGTAAACAAGTTAAAATCAAATTATAATGCTGCTTTATTCATATTTATTACAAAAACATTTCATAAGATCGTTGTTTACGTTTTGCGTTTAGATTGAATTCAGCTAATAATCCAATCAGAAAGCAGGGTTGCCAGATTCTACAACTAAAATCAGCTAAAAATTAATTAAAAAGTGCTCCTTATGATATGATGTGTCCCAGTATATGATAAAAAATGTCTTTAAATAGTGATTGCATTAAACCAGTAGGAGCACATGTTATTAGCTATGAACCATTTTTGCTTTTTTGCTCTCACTTTTTTTTTTCCATTTGATTCTCAACCCTTTAAAGGTGCATTGCGTAACTTTTCTGTTAGAGCCTCCGTCGCCTTCTTGTTTCTATGGATATGTCATTGCTCTGCCTGGAATGTTCCACAGTGTGACATTAAACATCTCTACCTTACATTTATTCAATTTCAAATGTTTTTTTTTTTTTAGCTCAAAAATACTTAGAAAAACAGGCTTTCTGACCGCCTCTCCACAGACCTGACCTGTAACTTGGTCTGATTTGGAAATAGAATAGTTCGAAGACAGAAAAGTTTAATGCCGTACTGTGAAACATTCAACAAAGCAATTTAAATCTCCATGGAGAAACATTTGACGTACCTTCCACCAGAAAAGTCACACAACGCACCTTTATCGTTTTGTTTTCTACGGTGGCGTTAAACATGACGTAGTAATTAGTCGTACCGTGATCATAATTTAAATATAAACAGAGTCATGTGATCTGACGAGAGGCTCTGATTGGCTGAGAGGGGGGTGAATGTTTTTTTTGTTGTTGTTGTTTTTCCGTTATGGAGGTCCGTCCGGGATCCACAGCACTTTGCTCTGCTCCTGCTCCACCAAACTGAGGATCTGAGAGCAGACGAAAGACACGCTACCGCCCTGGACCACACCTGTAAAAAAAAAAAACAAAAAAAAAAAACCAAAACAAAAACAAAAACAGACCTTTAATATTTAGTATGATTTAAAATAAAACAACAGTAACACTTTAAGATGTAAGATGAAGTTTCTAAATGCGCCTGTACACAATTTTTCCATGTATTTGAATCAAATCAGGAAGTGCCTGGTTAGCATGCTAGTTGTTGATAGCATTACCGGGATGCCAAACTTGGCTTTTGGCAAGTTGTGAAAAGCGCTTATAAAGTCTTCACGGTGAATAATCACTTAAAGATACAGAAAATAGGAGGTCAAAATGCGTAGGCTGTTTGCATTTAATTCTTGAGCGTTTTTGGTCCAAGAATCGTGAAGTGTGTGGTCAGCATGCTAGTTGTTGTTAGTATTCCTGCCACATCATATCAAGACTCCACTCCGGTCTCTGAAAGTTGTGAAAAGTGCTTATAAACTCGTCACGGTGAGTAATAACAATGCCCTGAATTCATAAGTTAAGTGAGGAATAACTTTGGACCACTGCAAACTGTTTAAAATGAACTAGTTTTGTTTTCATGTTTTTAAATGCAGCAAATATCAGACGGATACAGTTCATTTAATCGAGAAAAACATATTCTCAAAGTCGTCTGCAATGCCGTGTGTCACTGCTGATGTCACGAGCGGCCTTGGATTATAATAGCTCATGTTCTGAATGAGAAAAATGTACAGACAAGATATGAAGAATTCAATGTGCTTATTCTAAAGTGCACAGAGTAAAGAAAAAGCAAATAGAACAAAGCTAAAATAGAAAAAAAAAATGGAAACAAGCCAAAAGGGTTTAACAAAAGGAAACTGGAAATCAGATAATCGATTGTAAAACCAGGATCGAAACTAGATACTCATTTATGTTTTTTATCGATACTAAAAACAAACAAAATCACATAAACAGGATTCAAATGGACCTTTCCCGAACAGTTTCATCTTGAGAACACATATTAATGTTCATATTTGTGTTGAAAATGACAATATTTTCTTAAAAAAAAAAAAAAAGTGCTTTTAAAATTATGGAAAAGTGTCGAGTATTAAGTCTATTCTTTAGTATCAAAATAGAGGTTGAAATTCACGAGTAGCCAACTGTCTGTGGATACTGTCTGCATCTAATTATAAAGAGTTAAAGTATCCGATAATCAGGAAGTACACGTTAGCATGCTAGTTGTTGTTAGGTTGTCTATTCTTTAGTATCAAAATAAAGGTTGAAATTCACTAGTAGACGACAGCTCAAAATAAGTCTGTGGATACTGCCTGCATCTAATTATGAAGTGGTAAAGTATTCGATAATCTGGAAGTACACATTAGCATGCTAGTTGTTTTCTAGGTTTTCTATTTTTTAGTACTGTATCAAAATAGTTTGAAATTAACTAGTTGCCAAAGCTCAAAATAAGTATGTGGATACTGTCTGCATCTGATTATAAAGAGTTAAAGTATCTGATAATCACGAAGTACACGTTAGCATGCTAGTTGTTGTTAGGTTGTCTGTTTTTTAGTACTGAATCAAAATAGTTTGAAATTCACTAGTAGCCAAAGGTTAAAATAAGTCTGTGGATACTGTCTGCATCTAATTATAAAGTCTTAAAGTATCTAATAATCAGGAAGTACATATTAGCATGCTAGTTGTTGTTAGGTTGTCTATTCTTTAGAATCAAAAGAGAGTTTGAAATTCAGTAGCAGCGAAAGGTCAAAATAAGTCTGTGGATACTGTCTGCATCTAATTAGGAAGTTGTAAAGTATCTGATAATCAGGAAGTACACGTTAGCATGCTAGTTATTGTTAGGTTGTCTATTTTTTTAGTACTGTATCAACATAGTTTGAAATTCACTAGTAGCCAAAGATCGAACCAAGTCTGTGGATACCCTCTGCATCTGATTATAAAGTGGTAAAATATCCGATAATCAGGATGTACACGTTAACATGCCAGTTGTTGTTAGGTGGTCTATTTTTAGTATCAAAATAGAGTTTGAAATTCAGTAGTAGCCAAAGATCGAAATAAGTTTGTGGATACTGTCTGCATCTAATTATGAAGTTGTAAAGTATCCGATAATCAGGAAGTACACGTTAGCATGCTAGTTGCTGTTAGGTTGTTGGTTTCAGGGACTCGTCACAGTGAAAAATTAGGATGCTCTGAATGCATACGTAAATGTAGGAATAATTTTGGACCACACTACAAGTTTAATGGCATACTGTGGAACATTCCAGACTAAAGCCCTGCCAGAAAAGTTACATAGTGCAGCTTTAAATCATTATCTTGCTACTTATACTTTTCCACTGAGTATAGATTTTTTTTAAAAACTTGAAATTCACCTGTGAAGAAGCGCCCAAACTCCTGCTCCACTTTCTGAGCGGCGTCGAACTGTTCTTTGGAATGTTTCTGTGAGAGTTTGTCCCGGAGGTAAAGAGGGTCCTTCTGTTCCCTGGAAACAAGAAAAACACAATCGAAATTACAAAAAAAAATTACATTACACTAAATATTAGAGGTTGGAGCTGGTGCCAAGATAGATTTAGATTTAGACAAACTTTATTGATCCACAAGGGAAATTATTTGGACACAGCAGCTCATAAATCACAATATTTTATAATAACAAGAGCAAAAAAATATGAATGACAATAATAATAATAAATTCTAAATGAGAAGCAAAAATAGCAAGAGACTAGAATCAAATAAGGCATAATTATATAAATGTTTATGCAGAAGTAAAAAATTAAATAAACAGAAATAAGTAATATAAGGTTCTTTAACAATTGTCATAATTTAGGTCACAATATAATTACAAGAAATTAAAATAAAATAAAGAGCAGGTTTTGTACTTCTATGAGGAATTATCTGTAAACATATGACTTTTTTATTGTTTTTAAAATGCTATATTCGCCGATAACAAAGTATTAAGATGTGGAATGAGTTTTGTTTTGTTTTTGATGCTCTGAGTCTCTACCCTCCCTTTGCTCTCCACACTAAGTCACTCCCCTTTCAGAGCATTATCACAACACAATCAACGTGCAGCCCATTAGTAAAACTACTGCACATCGCATCAGGTTTGTGGAGTTGTAGTGTACAGTTTTGTATCGTGTTTTTGCATATTTATGGAGAATTGACGTAGGTTTGTGGGCGGAGCCTCGTACAGAATCTCACAAATGTAAACAGGGTTTGAATAGGGCCCAGGAGAGATCGCTAAATTACTCAAACACGCATGGATGACATAAAACCACTTCAGGAAACAACGTTATAACATGGTAGAAAGCTCGTCACCGTGCAGATGTCACTGGTTTGTCTGTAATGTTCCACAGTACGGCTTTAAACTGATATACTGTATTGTATTTATTCAATTACAGACAGTTTTATTGGTGGGAAAAGGAAAAAAAAAAAAAAGCCTTGAAAAACATGCTCGCATTTACTGTGAGCTGCTTGTCTTCCTACAGAGTGAAGTTTAATGACACTCTGGAGCATTATAAAGCAATGACATCTCCATGGAAACAAGAAAGTGGCAGAGCTTGTACTAGAAAGCAGCATGTTTATAATCTGCATCTTTATTGTTTTTGTTTATTTATGGAGAATTGGGCATGTCCCACCGGGAGGAGGCCCCGGGGAAGACCCAGGACACGCTAGAGGGACTATGTCTCTCGGCTGGCCTGGGAACGCCTCGGGGTCCCCCCGGAGGAGCTGGAGGACGTGTCTAGGGTGAAGGAAGTCTGGGAGTCCCTGCTTAGGCTGCTGCCCCCGCGACCCGGCCCCGGATAAGCGGACGAAAATGGATGGATGGATGGATATGGAGAATTGTCATGTGGGACCATGGATGAAATAGACTTGTGGGCGGAGTTTTGCACAGAATCGTACTGCGAACCATAAGGAAGGTTTGAATAGGGTCCAGGAGAGATCTCTAGATTACTTAAACATGCATGAATGACATCTAAACCCACGTCAGCTTGTTTTTAATGAGGGAATAACGTTATAACATGGTAGAAAGTGTTCCATTTAAAGCGTTACAAAAAGTAAAAATGAATCAAATCCATTAGATCCATGTATACCGAGAGTGGACACACAAATCCTTTTCCAATTAGCACCATCTTCTACATGACATGCCTCTGTCCTGGATTGACTCCTAATCTCTCTAAGCATCACTGAGGATCCCACATCCTCTTAAACCACTACAGCCGCCTGTCCGTGGAAACAGCGATGGTCTTTAAAAGGCTCATATTACACCGTGTTCTGATCTGTGTTATAATGTTGTTTCCTCATCACCAAAAACAGACCTGGAGTTGTGTTTTGTTTCATTCACACACAAACTTTGCAGATTTAGGTTGGGTTTTTCTCTCAAACTGAAAACACTCCACGATGTTTTTATACTCCAAAGTCAAGAACTCTGAACAAGAATCATTTGGATAATTTCAGCCCTGGAATTGCAGATTTCTAGCCTGATTCATCAGCCGGTTTTACTTTGAGGAAACCGTCTGACCTCGCAGCGTCAGGATTCATTCGCTCGATGGTAGGTGGGTACTTTTTTATTTAACCAATCGCTGCTATTTGGTCGTGACGTATGTAATGCGTCAAATCCCGTAGGAAGAACGGCAATAACGTCTTTCCCCTTGATAAAATTCACCAAACATTCTCTTTGTTCTGGCATTTAATCCTCGATCTCGGGAATCGTTGACAACACAGAATATATATGGCTCTTCGCCGATTGGCTGGTGCCCGAACTCGCACTTCCGGGGTTCTTGAAACTGTCTAGTCACTGGAGAGAAATGAATCTCTACAGAATGAAACACAAAATTAAATTCGTGGACCAGAGCATTTTGAGCTTTGGAGATGTGGACAGACTAATAAATAATAAAGGGTTATTTAAACACGTGTGAATGAAACAAAACAAAACTCCAGGTCTGTTTTTGAGGAGGCAACAACATTATAACATGACTTAAATTAATTTTGCGATTCTTTAACATCATATAACATTGCAAAGTGACCTATGCACTGCGTAACTTTTCTGGTGGAGGGTCCGTCACCTGCTTCAGGGTGTCCCCAGATTTGACTACCCCAAATTTAAGACTTACGGAGCTAAATTATTTCCTGATTGTGGGAAAGACGGACTGGAGTGGTGGGTAGTGTTGTGTTTTAGTTTGGGATTTTCCTCGAGTGAAGCAGAAAAGAGGGAGCCACTGTCTGTGTGAATGTTCATGTATGTTAGCTTCTTCAAGAGTTCTTCTTTAAGACTTTTTAAAGACTATTTAAAAACCACTTAAATGAAAATTAAGACCAACATCACATCATTAAGGGAGCGAAAAAACACCAGATCCAATTCTAATAACAATGACCAACCAATGAAATTTAAAGGTTGTATAGAGGATTTTTTAAAGGGAAAAGAAATACAGCAACGGTTCTTTTTTCAAATGTTGTACATGTGTGACACCACCTTCCTCCTCCACAGCTTCTCCTCCTCCCGCCTCTTTACTCTAGAAATCACGTTTGTTTACATCCAGTGCGCGTTCAGAATCACTGCTGAAGTGACCTGTCTAGAAATTATTTAGCGACCGACACGTCAGTTTTTAGACCCTTCGTCTGATTCATTCACGCAATCACTGGAAGGAATCTCCAAGAATCGTGTGTTTGCCTTTACTCCTTTTCTCCTTCTCTTCTTCTTTCAGCGACCTCAAAAATGGACTTTCTTTCGCGGCGAACTGCTCGTGGATTCTCGTCCGACATCGCGACAAACTTTGTGCGAACTGCGAGGAAGCGACAGTTTTAAAAAGCCTCTAAGAACCGCTGCATAAACCACATAATCCCCGCGCGCCGACGAGTCAGTTACACTAGAAACATAGGGAGTTTGATTGACAACCTAACAGCCAATAGAAAATGAGTGAGCCTTGTTTTCTATTGGCTGATGTTTATCTGCCCTCACTATGTCCACAGATGACAAATTTTCATTATTTTTTCTTTAATCAACATAATTACAAGGCTGCTGCATCTCTGTAAGGGTATTTTAAACTTTCCTTGACAATTTGAAAGTAAAAAAAAAATCCTCCATACAACCTTTAAGACCTTTTTGAGAAAAATAAGACTTGGACAACATAATTTCAGACTACCCTGCGCTTGTTTCTAGGGATATGCCATGCTGCACTGCTTAGAATGTTCCACAGCATGACTTTAAACAGCTCTACTTTACATTTATTCAATTACAGGTGGTTTTATAGCTCAAAAATTGCAAGAAAAACAGACATTCTGACAGTGAGCGGGGTCGTCTCTCCAAAGATCTGACGTATAACTTGGTCCGGTCTGGTCTCCATGAAGATCGAAAGGTTTAAAGCCACACTGTGAAACACTCCAGACAAATAACAACATCTATTCTGCTTCCATGTTATGTGTTATATATGTAGGTTTGCAGCTTATGGACAGCGAGAGGGGTTGTCCAATTTCTCCAACACCCAGGAGACCCAGACAGTGGACAGATGGCTCTCAGCTGATGATGGCTTAACTTTAGCACAATTCAATCCACGCTACGGTGTCCCCACTGGGTCAAACAACAGTCAGGATTAACGGAGCAGCAATCAGGAATGAAAAAGGCAAAGATGAGGGACGGGAGCAGGTGGACGTCCAAGCTAAAGCAATAACGTTGATCAATTGGCTTTTCAATAGGATTACGAAGCAGGAACAGGATATAATGGGAGATTTTCCTGTTTATGTGACGGCGAAGATAGACACGGGCTGAGTGATGAGTCAAAGGTAATTTGATAAAAATAGTCTTGAAAATTATAAAAGGATGCAGTTCTTTAAAATGGTCCTATGTTTTCACTTTTCCGTTGGTTTTAGGTTTGTTGGGGTTTTTGTGTCTTTAGTTACGGGTGCATCATCAGGTCCACCTTTCTTTTGTTACTTTTCTTAGTTTTTTTGGGGGGGCACGTATTGAGGGTTTCTTTTTTGGTTCCAAACACCTACAAAGTCAGAAAACTAAAAAAAAAACATCTCTAATCCTTAACTTCGACTCCGTGTCTTTCCTAAGTATGTTGGGACTCATTTTTTGAGGGGTCGTAACATACACAAAATGGATTCTCGTGAGGTTTGAATCATGTTATAATGTTGTTACCTCGTCAAAAACAGACCTGGAGTTGTGTTTTGTTTCATTCACACATGTTTGAGTAACTATTATTAGTCTGTCTACACCTCCAAAGCTCAAAATGCTCTGTTCCACCTTGTGATGTCATGAGTTTTCAAAATGACAGGAGCTACATTTTACTTTTTGTTCAAATGTAGATGGGTAATTCCAGGGCTTAAATCATCCAAATGATTCTAGTGAAGGTGTATGGAGTTTAAAAACACAATGGGGCACTTCCTGTATCACCACATGACATCACAAGGTGGAAAGAGTGTATTTCCGTTTGTCTGTTAAACTTGTGTGACTGAAAACAAAACTCCAAGTCTGTTTGTGACGAGGAAACAGAAACTGTATATCTAACATGCATTCAGACTGTAACTTCATTGGATTGTTGAAACCCCCAACAAAAGCAACTTACTGCACCTTTAATATTATTTCTTCTGCACAGAGGTAAATGTCCCTGTGTCTCCATGAGGTTTTATTCAGTATAAAACTATCCATCCTTGTTCTTAAATATAAACTGCTAAACTAAACATGCATTTCATTTCTCTCAAATGCTCTTGGACATGTTTAATGTTTATAAAATGTTCAATATCTTAAAAAAAATAAAATATAGATTTTTTTTAAATCACAAAAGGTAAATATTTGTTGGAAAATTGCCAAGACATATCATATTTTCCAGGCTATTAGGTGCTCTGGGTTATAAGAGTCATTAAATGGTCTATTTTCAAACATTTTTCACAAATAAACCGAACCGGACTTTAAAGGAAACACAACAGTGTGATGGGTGAGTGGTTTTGTTTGTTTGTTCGTTCACGGTGACTCTGGGCTTTGTTCAGTTGTGGCGTGTAGGGAGGTGCTGTCTGGGACCAACGGATTGTCGGCGTGTTCGCAGTGACTCAGTTGTTCAGTCGTGTCTAGAAGTGGCACATTGCGCTCGCTTTTTCGGTTCGTTCCTCCGTTCCGTTCCTCGTCGGCGTGGAGTGATGAGTGTGTCTGTGGGTGTTTTTCGCCGTGCGGTCGCTGTCTGCTCCGTGTGTGTTTGCGTGTTTTGTTGCTGGTGCGGCTTTGTAGTTTACTGAAGTCGTACTGGGACACCCGAGTGGATTCGTGTATATATTTTTTGACAGGGTTAGAGGCTTAAGAGTGCGCCCTATAGCCTGGAAAATACTGTATTTTGCTTGGTTTAGTTACAGATTTAACTAAAGGGACGACAGTAGTTTAGTTGGTCGAGCATTTGTCCACTGATCTGAAGGTTGGCAGATTCAAATCCCGCTCTCGTTGAGTGGTCAGATCCACTGATCCACAGGTTGGCGGGTGTGATTCCAGCTCCCACAGATGAATGCTGTCGTTGTATCCTTGGGCAAGACACTTAACACCGCATCTAGTGGTGTTACGTGAGAATGCAACTGGTTACATGTGTGGTCAAGTTCTTAAGGGGTCCTCAGAGGTTCTTAAAAAAAGGTCAAACTAGATTATGTGAATTTTAAAGAAGGTGTGGAATCTTACATCTCACATTCACACACTCATTCTAGGTGAAGTGCGAGAAGTGTCTTGCCAATGGACACGATAACAAAACTTGATCCGAGTGGCAACCAATCGTCCGTCCTTTGGCTTGATGAACATCTGCTCTAACCACCGAGCCACTGTTGCCAGAGGCCGCATTTGACCCGTTCTTTAAGAGTTCTGAGTCTAAACCTGGGTCGCCCATGTCCAGATCTTGGGTTTGGTACGGACCACATCACCTGGACGATTTTACCCGTGATCGTTTCGGGCTGTAATTTATTATTGTAACGAACTATAATATTAAAATCTCAATCTATAAATGGAGAGACTCGTTCCAGCCCTTCCTTATCCGCTCCTTGGTTTAATTATGTGGTTTAATTATCTGTGGGCTGTGGCTCTGATTTCACACTGGACAGTTTCCCGGGAGCTTTACATTATTTAAAGATCCTGGTTTATTTAACTTTAACTGAGTCAAGAACAGTTTCAGAGGCCGTGGACTCTCCTGTCACATCACTGTCACATACACATACTACCAGACGACACAACAATCACTCGATCAAACATTAGTGATGATATTAAAAGAACATATTAAAGGAGCAGTACGTAATTTTTCAAGTGAAGGGTTTGCCATCTGCTTGTCTGCATTTTACGTAATGTCCCACACAGACATTAAATAACAATAAAACGATTTAGATTTAATATTTTAACTGGATCTGTTAATCGTTGAGAACTTAGATTTCTCACTGTAGTACCATCTTCTCTAAAATAGAACATAATACACGATTTTTTTAACCCCAAAAATAAATTTAAGGTAGGGCTGCTCAATTACGGGGAAAAAATCATTATCACGATTATTTTGGTCAGTATCAAAATCATATACAAACTTTTTTTTTTTTTAGTTACACGACACATTTATTCAGTATTTCTCCCTCTCAAAAAAACTAAATAAAATTTTGTTATTGATAACTTACACAAAACTTTCCAATTGAAAATAAATTCAGCCTACAAATATGAACCTTAGAGCAGATTTGTGATGTATAAAACAAATTATACTTTGAACGTGAAATAAGGCAAAAAAAACCATAAACATATCCAAAATAAACTATATATACTGCTGTTCTATATTCTCTATATTTAAAAAATAAAATAAATATACTTATTTATCTAAAAAATATCCCAAAATAAACTTTATCAAGCTTTAAATCGTTTGAACTTGATTATATGAGTTTGGAGACTGACACACAAATCGAAATGGCGATCAAAATTCGATTAATTGGACAGGCTTAATTTGAGGTTAACAATAAGTGTAAAATTGTAGTGAAGGACACAGCAATTATTTTAGGATTCCATGAAAAAAACATTGAGGGGATAATATTCAAAGCTGTGTATCTGAGAGTGAAACATTTTTGCTTTGTTCAAACTTGTCTTGAAAATGTTAAAGGACAAAGTAAGTGCTTTGGGCACCGAGTTGAAATAAAATGTGGTATTTTGCATGTAAAATGTTGAATAAACAGAGACTGGACTCACTTGATTTGTTTGGCGTTTTTGTAGCGGATGAAGATGACGATGGGGTAGATGTGAACGGTGTGGAGGCGCTCGATGGCGTGAGGAGCGATGTCCAGAAGACAGTGGCAGTCCTGAGGAAAACAAGACAGAAGAAGCTTATTTAAAAGGGCCTGTACGTGATTTTTTCCCACATGTGTTTGGGGAAAATGTGTCTTGTTAGTACAGATATATTGTACAGCAGCTCTTGAGGTTAAAAAAAAAAAAAAGACAGCTGTATTTTGTCTGCAGGTGATTAGAAAGCAATTTATTGTGCGATAATTAAAAAGTGTGCATTAGTATGTGGTGAAAAGTTCTTTTAAAAACTCATTGGGGAGATTAATTAGGAAGCTCTGAATGCATAAGGTAAGTGAGAAATAACTCTGGAACACTACAAACTCTTTAAAACGGTTTCACTCATGGAGATATTATCGTTTGCCGGTAATGTTCAACAGTGAGGCATTAAACATATTGTATATCTAGCATTTTATATTTGTATTTATAGCTTGCACCAACCACTTGTTCCCATGGAGACGTTATGTTTTAATGCCATACTGTGGATAATTCTGTTCAAAGCAATTATATCTTTATGGAGACACACAGATGACGGACCCTGTATTTCCATTATTAACTACATTTTAGATCGCTACTTTAAATTCATATGATTAAATATTTTTACATTTCTGACTATTTGGTTTTAGCCATAAAAAATATATATATTAGAATTACAACTAAGTTTACATAAAACAGATTATCATAGATGTGTAAATTTATTTTCTCCCAAGTATTTAAGAACTTCCCATCTCTTTTTTTCCTCTTTGTCCGTTTCATTTGTATATCCTTCCCCAGTTACGTATTGGTAAAAACACATTTTAAAATAGTTAATATTAATTAAATGTTTTCCCAGGGTAATAATTAAATTAACCAGGTCGATTCTATTTTTAAAGTTTCCCAGTAAAGTAGAGACGAAATCCAAGTTAAAACCAAACCCAACGCCAACTCTAAACACATCTTCTCTTCGTCACTCCAAAATGAAGATACAATACGGCAACACCAAAACAAATGTTCAAATCTTTATCTTGAACCGTACCTTTTCTGTGACTTCTTTGATCGTGGCTACAGTCGTCACGTCGAAATGTCCGCTCCTCCGTTTGTAGTCGATGAACACACAGTCCTGAACGCCGCGCTCTATGGCCTGTTGAGACGCCTTCATCACCTCTGGAAACACAAAATCAGGAAAATACTGATTATTCAAAGGGGAATCACATTTATAAACAGTGTCGGGGAGTAACAGATTACATGTACTAGAGTTAAGTAATCAGAGTACAAATTATGAGTAACTGTATTCAGTTACAGTTACTGTTTCGGTGAGCGGTAACTGGATTACAGTTACTCTGTTAAAATAAATGGATTACATGGTGCTATTTTCCCGTTTTCACATTTTGGGCTAAAGCAGGACTAAAACCAGGTCTAAACCAGGACTAAAACCAGGACTAAACCAGAACTAAACCAGGACTAAAACCAGGACTAAAACAATGACTAAAACAATGACTAAACCAGGACTAAAACCAGGTCTAAACCAGGACTAAAACGATGACTAAACCAGGACTAAACCAGGACTAAAACCAGGACTAAACCAGGACTAAACCAGGACTAAAACAGGTCTAAACCAGGACTAAAAACAGGTCTAAACCAGGACTAAAAACAGGTCTAAACCAGGACTAAAACCAGAACTAAACAGGACTAAAACGAGGTCTAAACCAGGTCTAAACCAGGACTAAAACCAGGTCTAAACCAGGACTAAAACCAGGTCTAAACCAGGACTAAAACCAAGTCTAAACCAGGACTAAAACCAGGTCTAAACCAGGACTAAAACCAGGTCTAAACCAGGACTAAAACCATGTCTAAACCAGGACTAAAACCAGGACTAAAACCAGGACTAAAACCAGGACTAAACCAGGGCCAATTTGAAGAGAACAAACATGAATTTTCAGGATGTGGTTGTTACATTCATGTAGTTTTAAAAAACATGACAATATCAAGTAATCCAAAGTATTCAGATTACATTACTCACTTTAAGTAATTTAATGGATTCCGTTACAAACTACATTTTGGTGTGTGTAATCTGTAATCTGTAGGGGAATACATTTTAAAAGTCACCTTCTCAACACTGTTCATAAAGCAATTTTAAAACCTGACAATTTGTGTTTTTTTTCTGATGGGAGAATGTGATGGTGTCAAACTTTCAGACAGTTTTTCCCTTATCAATATGAATCATTTAACTACCCCTATGTCTATGTATTACTTATCTGTTTTCTTGAATGTAAGTTTAGAATAATTTGTTTATAATAATTTGTATGTATATAAATGCAATAAATTTGATAAAAAACAAAAACAGTTTTCCCCTACAAATACCAGCAAGGGTGGGCAATTTTTTTTATTTTTTTCCATAGGGCCACATGAGAAATAGAAAATATTGTGGACGGCCAGACCAAAATTCTTAACTCAATTCTGCATAATATGAATCACTGGGATGTAACAATATTCAAATCTCTGTACAATATTTTCACGATATACATCCCACGGTACGATATTTATTGCGATATTTTGTAGAGGCTATAACAAAATTGTAAAAATGCGACTTTTTTGTTTTGTTTTTAAATGCCTTGACAAGACTTTTGTTCTGTCATAAACCACAGAATTAAGATTTAAACGTGCTTAAAACTCATGATTCTTATTAGTATTTGTATTACTTTTCATGTAGTCTGCACTGTAGTGGAGCAAAGGATCATGGGATATGTAGTTCACTCAGTGTTTTAGCTATTGTTGCACCATAACAATGAATTTAAGCAAAGAAACATGTAATTTGATATTATTGTGAGACTTTTGACAACATGATATCACGATATTTCAATTATTGTTACATCCCTAATGAATTATATTTCTTTATTTAAAAAAACAGCAGTAAATAATATTGTTTTTACAAGCTGGTAAGAGTTTATGTTGTGACTAAGCAATGAAAAAGTGAGGATGTCTTAGAAAAATTGTAATTTAAAAACACGTCTAAAATAAAAAACAATGCAGCTTTAGTTCATGCATGAGGTAAAATGATAAAATATGTTGATTTTTAATTCCAAATCATCTTAAACGGGCTGGTCGTATGTGGCCCAGGTCTTCTCTATATTACGAATATTTTTATTTTTTTTATGGACATGTCCTCTGTACGAAGTGTGTCGGTGCATACGGGACATGGCGCAGGATAAAAATGAGAATGGGGACAGTCCAAACTTCAGATAACAGGTGCAGTGACTGAGGCAGAGTAAACAACCAGCAGCGTGAAGCAGCTGTCAGCGGTGTTGTAAAACTGCAGCTAAATGAGTCAAGTCATAGTCTCGTCCTGTTAATCATTACAACATTGTTATACCAATATTGTTAGAAGTTGTAGTTTGTGTCCAGTTATTGCTCTGAGATGTTACTGCTTGTGTGAAATGTTCCACAATCACACTGTGGAACACTCCAGGCAGAACAAGTTCCAGGCTCAGTCTCAGTCTGGTCCCGGTCTCAGTCCTGATCACCCGACCCATCCATGCGGGCACACCTCCGGGCCCGTCCTGACACTCAGTCCCGGTTCAGTCCCGGTTCAGTCCCGGTTCAGTCCCGGTTCAGTCCCAGTCCTCTTTTAGTCCTCTTTTAGTCCTCTTTTAAGTCAGTCCAGTCCGTTTAGTCCCCTTTAGTCCTTTTTTAGTCCCAGTCTTTAGTCGTTAGTTTTAGTCCCCTTTAGTTTTAGTTTTAGTTCAGTCCAGTCCCTTTTAGTCCTTTTCCCTTTAGTCCAGTTTTAGTCCTTTAGTCCTCCTTTAGTCTTTTAGTCTTTAGTCCCAGTTTTCAGTCCTCGTTTAGTTTCCAGTCCCAGTCCCAGTCTTTTCCCAGTCCAGTTCAGTTCAGTTCTTTTAGTCCCGGTTCAGTCAGTCCCGGTCAGTCCGTTCAGTCCTCTTTTAGTCCCCTTAGTCCGTCCCAGTTCCTTTAGTCCCGTCGTCAGTTCAGTCCTCTTTTAGTTCAGTTCAGTCGTCGTTAGTCCTTTTAGTCTTTTAGTCCGGTCCTCTTTTAGTCCTCTTTTGTCCCTTCAGTCCTCTTTTAGTCCGGTTAGTCCCAGTCCTCTTTAGTCCCAGTCCAGTCCCTTTTTAGTCCCTTTTAGTCCCGTTTTAGTCCCGTTTTAGTCCCGTTTTATTCCTCTTTTAGTCCTGGTTCAGTACCGGTTCAGTCGTCGTTCAGTCCTCTTTTAGTCCCTTTAGTCCGGTTCAGTCCTCTTTTAGTCCATAGTCCTTTAGTCCGCTTTTAGTCCCTTTTAGTCCTTTAGTAGTCCGTTTAGTTTTAGTCCCGTTTTAGTCCTTCAGTACCGGTTCAGTCGTCGTTCAGTCCCTTTTAGTCCTCTTTTAGTCCCGGTTAGTCCCTCTTTAGTCCTCTTTTAGTCCCTTAGTCCCCGTTCAGTCCCGGTTAGTCTTTTAGTCCTCCGTTTTAGTCCCGTTTTAGTCCCGTTTTATTCCTCTTTTAGTCCTGTTTCGGTCCCAGTTCAGTCCTCTTTTAGTCCTGGTTCAGTACCGGTTCAGTCGTCGTTCAGTCCTCTTTTAGTCCTCCTTTAGTCCTCCTTTAGTCCTCTTTTAGTCCTCTTTTAGTCCTCTTTTAGTCCTCTTTTAGTCCTCTTTTAGTCCTCTTTTAGTCCTGGTTCAGTTCGGCATCGCAGTTTAAGTCAAGGAAATGGGAAATAGCCGTTATCCGTTTTTTTTATTTTGGTTTCGGAGACAAATCATGAAGAAAATAGTTGTATTTTCGTTTTCTTATTTTTGGTTTTATTTTGAAAAAACGAATAATACACGGATTGTTTGTGATGAGGAACCAACTTTATAAAATAGCCTAATATGTGCCCTTTAAAGCACCCAACGCCAATCGATCTGAACACGCCTGTTGTAAACCAGCCTGATTAAGTCCTGTCCTTCTTCTGTAATTAGGATCTGTGAGCAGAGCCGATCGTGTGTGTGAAACTAACCCAACACAAACCGACACAAACCAACCAGAGAAGGGGCATTAAATATGAACGAGGGGCACACGAACCAGGCGGGCAGCGGCAGAACTTGGCGCTGGACTCTTTGACGAGCTGGTCTTTACACGGATCCACCAGCGGACCCAGGATCAGCACAGGACGAGGGCTCAACGGCTCCACCTTCAGGACGCGCTGGTACACGAGACACATGCCATCTAGAGGAAAACAGAGGAACAGCAGCACATTTAAATTTAAGGGCAGGTGAATAGAACAAAGGTTGAAAGAATGACCGTTTTCTATGTAAAAATGTTAAATCTTCACCATCCGAAACAATAAAAGGTGAAGTTTTTGCCGCTAAGTACTTTTAATGACAATAATTACTTCCCACTCTTTTTCACTGACAAAATTTCAAAACTTTTTCATGACCTAAAGTGAATTTTCCATGACTTTACGGCACCTACATGTGTAGAATTGATCAGACTTTAGGGCTAAATATGAAATGTTAACCCTTTCCACTCACCTTATGGTTTGGGATTATAGTTTTTTAACATTCAAAATACTGTCAGTGCATTTATTGTGGCCTAATGATAATTTAACAGAACGCTGTAGCTGCATGAAAGAGATACTAAAAATCCATGACTTTTCCAGGATTTCCATGACCGTGGGAACCCTGTACCTAAAACTTGAACAGTTTTTGGGCTTTTTAATGTGGGTAGAAACTTAGCATTACTTTTGTGTGTGGTGCGTTTCAGTATACAACATTAATGTAAATCGGAGTTTCAGTTTTTATTACTAAAAGATTTGGATCAATGTTGTGGTTTACAATTAAGAAAGTGTCAAATAGAGATCTACGTATGTTATCTAATAATTTAATAATAATGAACACGTCCAAAATAACAATCTTCTCTTGACTAATGAAACAACAACAGTCTGGACTTGTCAGAGCTGGGAATTGAAACACCAACGCTGCAATCACTTCACCCCCTCAGCCTTAACTGCCACATATGTCCCTGCCCCTTTCGTTGTCTAATGGTGCACTCACACTTAGACTTCAGAACCAAACCGTGCCCAAGCACAGATCGCCCCTAAAGCGCGGTATGTTTGTCCAGTGTGAGTGCAATCGAACCTGTGCTCAAGCGCGGCACGGATGGGACTTTGGCCCAATTGGAGGTGGACCACAGCACGGTTGCTCATGTACGTGATGTACACATGCATGACTTTACTATACGAGCCCTGTGTGCACTGATGTTACTCATATGACGAAAGTAGTGAATAAAATTTTTATCTCCTTAACTCTTTCCCCCATGAAGACGACATTTGACGACCCCCCTGTTTCCTTAATGACGACTTTTGACACCTCCGCCGTATCACTAAAGACGAGATTTGACGACCTTTAGAAATGGCTCGGTTTTTCACATTTAAACAGAGACTGTGATCGGTCGGGGCCACTACAACCCACACTAGACTGACCAATAGGATTCAAGGATATGTTTTCGCCGATTTTTTCCGAAGTTAATCGAAATAGTGACGATGGTAGCTTCCGGAAAAAACACAACACGAAACACGTGCAATGGAAAGATCGCGGCGCTGCGGCGCACAGTTTTAGAAATAATGAGGAGCGGACGTATTTTATGGATAAGTTTAGAGAAAGTGACTTTTATAGATTTCAAAGTGATGATGTTGAAGTTGATTATAAAGTGGAAAACAGCGATAGCGACGGACTTTCGGGGAGAAGGTGAGATGCCGCTGATGCGTCTGTGTGGAGTCCTGCGATGTCCCAAACAAACTATCTGAGCTTTATACTCAATTATGAACCAAAATTGCCCTGAAATCTGGATGTTGCCCAGGCGAGTCCTAGGCTAGGCTAAAATATTTCAGTCTTTTTTTCCAAGATGCGATGTATAACAGAATCGCTACAGAAAAAAACGCTTATGTGGAGCTCTGCACACGAGAAAATAAGCCAAGATGACAAATACTGGACACACACTGACGGGGAAGAGTTTATTATTATATATTATTATATTATAATAAGCTAAATTAGTTGAATAAGCTAAATTAGTTGAATAAATAAAATAAGTTGAATAAGCTAAATGAATTGAATAAGTTAAATGGAAAAAAATGAATTGGGTGCACACAGGTGTACAACAGGTAAAAACAGATGTGAACACTTGGCTATACTGTATCTGGTGATATGAAATCTGTTTAAATACTTTGACAAAGTATATTTTTTATTTTTTTATGAATATAGTACTCAGAACATGCAGATATCAGATGCTGAATGTAGTTTTTTGTTTTCGAGTTTGCACCTGACCAGGTAAACTCTCATTTTCAGTGAGCTGTTATACACCTATAAATGAGTTGAATCACATTTAAACATCCATAAATGAATAGTTCAGAGTCTAAGGTTTCCAGAGATACAAATATGTCTGTGTTACAATTAAGTTCATGAGTGTAAAAATCATTTATAATCACTCGTGGAAGTCTGTTTTCTTTTATGCAGTTATGCTCTATGGGTAGAACTAGTAACATATGTATGGGTTGTTCCTAGTAGGCGTCCAGGGGGGAAAGAGTTAAACTCATGAAGGAGCGTGTATTATAAAAGGATGCACATCAGCCTCACTATTTAATACACATTTTTGCCGCTAATAGATATTTTCTATGCTAAAAGTGTTAGCACTTGTAAACCAACAGCACCGTGTGAGGACATCATCGGGCCGTGGCTTGGTTTGGAGTGCGGCCATAGAACCCCACGCAATCGTACTTGAGCAAGGCACGGTTCTAACGTCCTAGTGTGAGTGGCCCTTACCCTCTGTGATGGGGAAAGACTCTGTGCTGATGGAGTCCAGGCCCACGCTGTCCTTTCCGTCTTTGGAGCTGCTGCGTTTGTGTTTCTGTCGCCGTCGGAAGAACGAGCGTCGAGCGGCAGCAGAGAGACTTTTACTGTTGTCGTCTTTACTGTCGGGGGTGTGTCTGCGGTACAGCTCCTGGTCCATACTGAGGGAAAGAGGACAGAGATTCATTTAAAGAGAGGAAAAAAACATTAAGTTCGGTTTAAGTTTCATTTTAAACTGCAGAATATTCCACAAGAAGGTTTTTTAAGGCATTTAACTTTTATAGCTTCACATCTCAGTACTGAAAGTGGCTCACATGTACTGGCTGGGGACCTGTCCTCGCTGCAGCCTCTGGGCCTTCTCGTCCAGTTGCCATGCCGACCAGTATCCCAGGTTCCCATTGGGCAGAGTGTCCTCCACATAAAGAATATCGTCTTTCTTAAAACTCAGCTCCGGCTCCACCTCCGCCATGCGCTCGTAAAGTGCTCTGAAAGTCAAGTCAGAGTCAAGTCAACGCAACAACAAAGCAATGGTTTAAAGAAATTTAGAACTTTTTTTTGGTATCTTTGTTGTATTTGTCGTAAGATTTGTTTTTTACCTGATGAAGAACCCGTCTCCAGGTCCTTCTCTCACAGTGGGGAGCTCGTCCACACAGTTCTGAACCTTAAATGTGGCGTTTTCTGCAGATTTCAGCGTCTCCAGATAAACCTCCTCTTTAGTTTTGTTTTTCATACTGACGCCATTGTACTGGAAATCACAACAGAGCAAAAAGAAAATTAAAACTGCTGATTTACAAAAGGATTTATACTTACAGAGTTGGTGGTTACTGAACTTTTCAAACGAATGTCCTCAAACAGGATTATTCTATCATCTTTACTGGACTAAAATAGACAATAGATGGGTCTAAACCGGGTCTAAACCGGGTCTAAACCAGGTCCAAACCGGGTCTAAACCAGGACAAACTCAGGTCTAACCCAGGACAAATTCAGGTCTAACCCACGTCTCAACCAGGACTAAACCAGGTCTAAACTAGGACTAAACAAGGTCTAAACTAGGGCTGAGCTAGGAAAAACCCAGGACTAAATCAGGTCTAAACTATAACTAAATTGGGTCTAAACTAGGACTGAACCAGGACTAAACCAGGTCTAAACAAGGACTAAGCCAGACTAAAGCCAGGACTAAAGCAGGACTAAAGCAGGACTAAAGCAGGACTAAAGCAGGACTAAACCAGGGCCAAACCAGGTCGAAATCAGGTCTAAATCAGTTCTAAACTAGAACTAAACCAGGTCTAAACCAGGACAAACCCAGCACTAAACTAGGTCTAAAGTAGAACTAAACCAGGTCTAACTCATGTCTAAACCCACATCTCAACAAGGTCTAAACTAGGACAAACCTAGGACTAAACCAGGACTAAACCAGGACTAAACCAGGACTAAACCAGGACTAAAGCAGGTCAGGACAAACCAAGCACTATACCAGGTCTAAAGTAGAACTAAACCAGGTCTAACCCATGTGTAAACCCACGTCTCAACAAGGTCTACACTAGGTCTAAACTAGGACAAACCTAGGACTAAACCAGGACTAAACCAGGACTAAACCAGGTCTAAACAAGGAACGAACAGGGAATATGTAAGTTGTAGACCCGCTCTCCACCAGCTCTCCCACCTCCAGTATGAGGTCTCCGGGCAGTAGTCCCTCCGGACACTTGGCGGCGCTGTCCTCGTCCAGACTCTCCACAAACACTCCAGAGATGTTCCCTCCGCAGAGCTGCACCCCGAGGTCCCCCTGCACCCACCTCAGCCTCACCACCCTCACCTCTGCCGACCTGTGAGGGCCTGAGCCAAGTCTGAGAGCAAAACCACACAAAACAATATTTATCTTTATACAGAGTTCATTAGCAAACAGTATCTTGTTTTTATTTTTTTTATTTTGTAATTTTCTACCACAAGTTCTAGTGCCTTAAGCCAATATCGTCAAATTGAAAATGGCTTCTAGATGGAGCCAAAATGTCTTAATTGCAAAAACAATGTCCAGATGATCGACACTTTCAAAGAGCAAATGCCTTTCAGTGCAATTTAGATGTTACGGCATCTAATTATCTAATTGATAATACAACAACAAACAATATTTCTGAAATAAATAAATGAATAAATAATACAAATACAATGATGCATTTAAGTCTAAACGGGTTCTGAGCGCAACTGTTGTCCAACATGAAAAAAAAAAAACTTAAGTATGGGGTTGCAATAGTTCCAACGTCATAAACAAATTCCAAAATTCTTACTATAATACTCCCTACAACTGTACAACAACTCAACCTTATATAACAGAAAATACTCCCTACAACTGCAGCAACTCACCCTTATGTAACAGATAATACTCCCTACAACTGTATAACAACTCACCCTTATGTAACAGATAATACTCCCTACAACTGTATAACAACTCACCCTTATGTAACAGATAATACTCCCTACAACTGTATAACAACTCACCCTTATGTAACAGATAATACTCCCTACAACTGTATAACAAGTCAGCCTTATGTAACAGATAATACTCCCTACAACTGTGTAACAACAACCAATGTAACAGATAATACTCCTACAACTGTACAACAACTCACCCTTATGTAACAGATAATACTCCCTACAACTGTATAACAACTCACCCTTATGTAACAGATAATACTCCCTACAACTGTACAACAACTCAACCTTATATAACAGAAAATACTCCCTACAACTGCAGCAACTCACCCTTATGTAACAGATAATACTCCCTACAACTGTATAACAACTCAGCCTTATGTAACAGATAATACTCCCTACAACTGTACAACAACTCAACCTTATGTAACAGAAATATATACTCCCTACAAACTGTATAACAACTCAGCCTTATGTAACAGATAATACTCCCTACAACTGTACAACAACTCAGCCTTATGTAACAGATAATACTCCCTACAACTGTACAACAACTCACCTTATGTAACAGATAATACTCCCTACAACTGTACAACAACTCACCCTTATGTAACAGATAATACTCCCTACAACTGTACAACAACTCAGCCTTATGTAACAGATAATACTCCCTACAACTGTAACAACTCAACCTTATGTAACAGATAAACTACCCTACAACTGTACAACAACTCAGCCTTATGTAACAGATAATACTCCCTACAACTGTACAACAACTCAGCCTTATGTAACAGATAATACTCCCTACAACTGTACAACAACTCACCCTTATGTAACAGATAATACTCCCTACAACTGTACAACAACTCAGCCTTATGTAACAGATAATACTCCCTTACAACTGTACAACAACTCAACCTTATATAACAGATAATACTCCCTACAACTGTACAACAACTCACCCTTATGTAACAGATAATACTCCCTACAACTGTACAACAACTCAGCCTTATGTAACAGATAATACTCCCTACAACTGTATAACAACTCAGCCTTATGTAACAGATAATTCTATGTTTTGTCAATCATTACATTTTTAAAAATATATTTATTTTATTTTTATACTTTGGCACTGTTTTCCTTACGACCTCTTACTGTGATATACTGTGTTTATATTACTATATTTCTTTTATTTATATTTATATTTCCTTTATATTTCTCTTTTTTTTTTACTTTACTTGTACATAAATATTTATATAATCATGCCTTATTTAACACCTGTCTCTTGCCATTTTTTATTGCTACTCATTTCTTTCTCTCTCTATATATTTTTTTTATCTTTGTTATTATAATATAATGTGATGTTTGAGGTACTGTGTCCAAGTAATTTCTCTTGTGGATCAATACATTTTGTCTAAGTCTAAATCTAAGTCGTAAGTTGAACGGTCTGATGATGAAAACCAAAATAGCAAGTAGAGTTTAGTTTCTGACCTGAAGGAGCTGTTGGGGCTGGTGGCGGGCGTGGTCTGTTTGGAGGGCGGAGTCATGGTTCCTTCGTCTTGTTCGCTCAGAGCCTCAGAGGACGAGAGCCGGTCCGGGGTCGAGGCGGCGCTGTCCTGAGGAGTGGGCTGGTTACTGATCGACTCCATGCGAGAACTGAATTAAAAAAGATTAAAAATAATATCAGATTTTTTTTTTCACACATTCTGCAAAATATCATGACCACCGAAAAAACATACTGTATTTTTCGGACTATAAGTCGCACTTTTTTCATGGTTTGGGTGTTTGTTGTGACTTATACTCACGTGGGACTTACAAATTAATATATATGATTTCACATGTTCGTTATTTTCACACTGACAGCCGCGAGAGGGCGATCTAGGCTTTGTATTACTCCTGTACCACTGTCACATCGTGCTCTTCTGCACATGTCTCCTGCAAAAAGAGCCTCTGTGCTGCAAATCAGAGAACTATAATAAACGTTTTATTATAGATCCATGATGCAAGTCAAAAACTAATCGAGCAGCAGAAAGAAAGTTTGGACAGAGTGAAAAACTTGTTAGGGACAGGAGAAAAGCGGATTCTCTAACTGCAATGAAGAGAATAAAAAAGCTAATTGTGAACTAAAAGATAGATTCAGCTGGAGTTGGCGGAGTTGATCAGAAGTGAAACCGAGGATGAAGAGTTCAGTGGATTTAGTGATTTGGAGTGAGATGGAGAGTTTGGTAAACTTGTTCTGTTGTTTATGTTATAGTTTATCTGAAGAACTGTTCATATGTGACGTTAACAGTCTGTTGTTTTCTGTTCTATTGTTTTTACTAGAACTTGACTTTCATCATGAAATGTCAGTTCCTGGTCTCTGAGTTTATAAAATATATTTCCCCCAAAAAAGTGCGACTTATAGTCCAGTGCCATTCATATATGATTTTTCTTCTTCATTATGCATTTTTTTGGCTTGTACTTATAATCTGACTAATACAGTAACCAAAGAGGTGCAGTCGCAGCTCTCTCTCTCTCGTCTTACCCTGATCGTGAGTGGTTGCCCAGTGTGAACATGTGAGGATTATACTGGGCTAAAATAGTGACTGTATCACACTGTTGTCCAATCACGAGCCTCGCCTGCTGCTCGTTTGCATTCCTCAGGTTTATCCCATTGAACTGTGGAAAAAAAATAAGGTTACTTTTTTTTTTCCCAATACATTATTGAAATACTACTTAAAATAATTATTTAAACCTTCAGGATTATTTCATATATCAAAGGCAGAAAGTTTAAAGGTCTACTTGGTAACTTTTCTGGCACTATGAGAATAAACCACTTGCTAGTTTCCACTGAGATGCTATTGCTTTGACCGGAATGTTCCACAGTATGGCATTTAACTAATTCATCTCCAGGGAGACAACCAGGTAACTCCACCGGGCCCAGTTACAGGTCAAATCTGTGGAGAGGTGATCTCGCTCACAGTAAGAATACATGTGTTTCAAAATGTTTTTTTAAGTTAACAGTTAAAACACTATTGACTGAATAAAAGCACAGTAGATATTTAATGCGGAACATTCCAGGCAAAGCTAAAACATTTCCATGGACACAAGCAGGTGCGGATTCTCAATCTGAATCTGAGTGATGTGAGCAGATCTCACCTCGAGCAGCTGGTCTCCGTACTCGAGCCGCGCCTGGTGGGCGATGCTGCCCGCCGTCACCTTCGACACGAACACGCCGCCGTTTTCCCCGCTCACGATGGAGATGCCCAGAGGCTCCGCCCCCTTCTGCACCGTCACGTTACGAGGCTCCTCCAGGTACGGCCTACGGGGAGAGCAAAAAGACATTTTTACAACTACAGAACATCCCAGTGTGTGTAAAATGTCAAAGATTTATTTATTTTTTTCCCCTTGTGCATCTGCTTGTCTCCATCAAGATGCCTGCAATGTTCCATAGTAGGACTTTAACCTTAACTATCTCCATGGAGACAAGAGGGAAAACCGCACCAGGAAAGTTACATAGTTCACCTGTAAAATACTATCCACTGTAAATTGTTTATCTTAACAATTATTAGTTTTGACTTATACAGCCTTCTTCTGCCTCATTAAGAAATCATAGAGCCACAGAAACAAAGGAGGCAAAGTCAGAAACGTGTCTTGCCCAAGGACACAACAGTAACATTTGGAAGTAGTGGGAATAAAACCACCAAGTTTCAGTTTAAGAAGGACAAAAAAAAAAGTGAAAGAGAAAATTTCTGTAAGTAAAAGTGGATTCATGCCAACTAAAGTCTTAAAAATGGTTTATTTATTTCTCGTTTCATGCATGATGCAACACGGACTGAAGTCATGCAAGCTGAAGAACATGTCGACCATAACAGCCGTCACCGTCACAATTTCATGCATCTGCTCCTTGTTTACGCAACGAAAGTCTCACGGACACCGGTCAAACGCATGTTAGACCAAGACAGAAAGATTTATTCACCAGCCAGTATCACATACAGATGCAAAATAAATATGTTTAATGCCATACTGTGGAACATTCAGGCAAAACAAACAGCCCCAAGTTACATAATGTATCCTTAAAATGTAAGTGAACGACGGCAATGTTGTTAAAGGCTCATATCAGGCTATTTTCTGATCTGTTATAATGTTATTTCTTCATCACAAACAGACCTGGAGTTGTGTTTTGTTTCTTTCACACATGTTTAACTTTCAAACACTGCATATTTAAGATGAGTTCTCTAAAAAGGAAAACACCCTATTCCACCTTGTGATGTCATGTGGCAATACAGGAAGTGCTCCACTGTGCTCTCCTCTTTTTCACTGACAAAATTTCATGACCTAAAATTAATTTTTCATGACCTCAAGTAAAATTTTCATGACTTTATGGCACTTACATGTGTAGAATTGATCAGACTTTTATGAAATGTTAACTTTTCCACTCACCTTATGGTTTGGTTTTAGAGTTTTTAACATTCAAAATTCTGTCAGTACATTTATTGTCGTCTCTTTTAAACAAAAGGCGCAGACGTTCAGAAATAATCATAATAGTCTAATGAGAACTTAACAGAACGCTGTAGTTGCGCGAAAGAGATACTAAAACTCCATGACTTTTCCAGACCTGGAAAATTACATTTTTAATTTTCATAACTTTTCCAGGATTTCCATGACCGTGAGAAGAACCCTGCTCCACACACCTTCACTAGAATCATTTGGATATTAAATAATCTGGAATTTGATGCAGACAGAAGAATAATAAATTATTACCCAAAAAATGTGTGAAAGAAACAAAACACAACTCCAGGTCTGTTTTTGAGGAGATCAGTAATCATGCTAGGGATGTAACAAAAACCAAAATATTGTGATATCGTATAATCAGAAGTGTCACAATAATATATCGAATTACAAGTTTCTTAATACTACATTAATAATCGTACAGAGAGATTTGGAAATCGTTACATCCCTAAATCATGCCAGTTCAAACTACACTAAACACCACTTTCTTCTGTATTAAATTGAACTAAAATCTCTCACACAGTTCTGCATGCCATCTCAAATAAGACTGAAGTTAGTTATAGTTCTAAAGCATCATGCATGTTTATATACAGGCTCTCAAGCAACTAGAAGCAGCCAACCAACCTTAAGCTTCTCAGAAAGTAGAACTTATTGTCAAAAGTCTGAGCATGTCTGACACAAAGAGAGCAGTAAGAGATATTTTATACACGAGCACAGCCACAAACAAAACCAGAAAAAGAGATATAAAGTCACAGTTAGGACAGTATAGGTTTAGCATTATCTTTAATCTTTCTTTAGTATTATCATAGTTTTACCTAGTTTTGAAATTATACCTGGTTAATTGATGGACAGAGGCTGGACAGGACTTAAGATGACCTTTTTTTAAATGTAAAGCATCTTAGTTGAATAATGAACGTTTGTATTTGTGATTATTATTGTTTTAGCTCATTGACAATTTACCCCACTGGCATTTTTAAAGACAATTTTTTAGACAAATTACCTTGAAAAACGTAAAATAATCTTCTCATATAAGCAATTAAAGCTTCCATTTGTAAGTTTGTGTTCAGTGGTGTTATGCAAGAATAAAACAGGACCAGCTAATCTAAGTACAAATGGTATCTTGCCTCTTCGATTTCCAACATTTTTAATCAAATGTTTGCATTGTATGTGTCTTTGGAAATCGTTCATCTCCACTAGACGAAAAAACTACAAATGAGCTCTGAGGATGCTCAAAACAGGGGTTAAAAATGGGCTTTTGGGGTTACAATAAAAAGGGAAATTAGACCCAAGCACAGCAGTTAAACTTTATTCAGAACCTATATAAATGTTTTTGAGGTTTGACAAAATTTCAAAGCTTTTCCGTGACTTTTTCATGACCTAAAGTGAATTTTCCATGATTTTACGACACCGACATGTGTAGAATTGATCAGACTTTTAGGGCTAAATATAAAATGTTAACCCTTTCCGCTCACCTTATGGTTTGGTTTTATAGTTTTTTAACATTCAAAATACTGTCAGTGCATTTAGTGTCGTCTCTTTTAAACAAAAAGGTGCAGAAGTTCAGAAACAATCATAATAGTCTAATGAAAACTGAACAAAAAACTGTAGTTGCGTGAAAGAGATGCTAAAATTCCATGACTTTTCCAGGCTTGATATGTTTCCTTTAAATCCAGCATGTGTATGTTTATTTTTTTTGTTTTGTGTTTTTCCAGTAAATCGCAGATGTGAACCTGTGCCTCACCTGAGCTCTCTGATTTTCTTCTTTCAGGTCAAAGCTTCCACACTATCAGACTGCAGTAATGTAGATAGCAGCCGAGTGGTGAAATTTGAGAATAAAATAGAGGTTTGGCAGTATAATTACAGACAGAACTTTAAATCTAACCCACTCAAAACTAAAGTTAATAGTAAAAAAGTTGAGAATGATCCTCTAATATTTTGCACGGGTTAAAATAGCTTGACTGGTCTTAAATAATATCTCAGAGTCTTACCCGTCTTTCCTCTTGTCCGACAGAGAGGCCGGGCTCACGGAGATTCTGGGCTGAGGTGAAATGGAGCTCTGTGATTGGCTGCTGCTGAACGAGGACGTGTCCAGGTTTACAGGAGAGATGGGAGGGGTGGGGCTGCTGCACTCGGAGTGAGACCGGGAGCCTAGAAGAGAGAGAAGAGACGGGGGAAAAATGAGGTAAAGTAATGATAAAGAAGACATATATTCGTTAAAGATATACTACGTAACTTTCTGCCGCCTGCTTATCCCCAGGGAGACACTTTTGCTCTGGTTAGAATGCTTCTGTCAGAATAATTTTATTATCCCATATTTGCTAAATACTTGTGTGATATTCTATGCCTATGAGTTAACCATTTATGTACTACTGTGGTGGATCCCTCTGCCACCACTCCATAGTGTCAGTATTATTTAATTTTCATTATTATTTACATTAAGTTAATTACACTACACATAATTTAATTCCGTTATTAGACTTATGTTCTAATTTGAGTGCACGCATTTTAGTTAATATAAGTCTAATTTACTTACGCTTGTTCTTTTTGTTTTTTTGAGCACCGGACAGAGGACCCTGGGAGAGACCATCAGGACTCAGCAAAGGGGGGGAGCAATATTTAGTTTGTTTTACTAAGTTAATTTGTTTAGTTTGTGTTAAGGTCACATTATTATCACTTATTATTTTCTGTATTATAATGATTTGCTTTTTTGTTTACTTTGATTAAGTTATTGGTTTAGTTAGTTAATTAGTGTAATTCCTCCCTCTTGTGTTTAGCTTTAGTTGGTCCTCAGGTATTTAAACACACCTGTTCCTTTGTCTGGTTGGGTTAATTTTGTTCTGTTCAGTTTGATTTTGAGTTACCCCAGTTGGGCCCAGCTTTTTTGTTAATAATTTGCCTAATTTGAGCCTTTGTTAAATTATATCTTTTTTGGCTTTATTAAATTTAAACTTATTTTTATACCTTGTCTTTGCCTTTCTGTTTGGTCCACTACAACTACAATTCTTTGATTTATAATGTACCAATCACTTGTCACTTGTTGAATAACCTCTGTGTGTTTGACAACTGTGTGCAGTGTCCTGTCGCTCTAGTGAACCTCGAGATGATTCCTCACATGAAGCCAACTCCCACTGTCACACATGCAAGAGTTATGATGGTGTCTGACCTAAGGCACCTCCTGATTGTTAATCATGTTTTATGTGTTTGTACTATGCATAGCTGCACCAGTTTCTTATTATGTCTTGGCTGTTTCCCCTTCCCCTTGAGAATTATCATTCTGTAACTAGGGCCTCCTAATGAAATAAAAAGAGGAGAAGCGGCCTTGAGTCATCAGAACGTGTGGAGACTGTTGGTTTTGATGCCCACTCTCTGCCCGTTCTCCTCGCGAGTAAAACTGAATTAATCTCTTGTCTTTCTTCTTGTTTACAATGTTTAGATAAACCTAACAGCTTCTGAGCTTTATCTTGCAATTATTCAAAACTCATTGAAAAGCGTGCATTATTACAGTGTGGGGGGACTTAATCTCCACAGATCTGACCTTTAAATTGGACTGATATTCACCTACTTGTCTCCATGGCGATAGATAAATTCAATATAATAGTGTGAAACATTCTAGGCAGCGCAATAACATCACCAGTGAGACAAATCAGCAGGATAAGCACAAAAATTCAACAGTAGCCAGGGCAATGGTAGATCATTTGGTAGAGTTTGTTCACCGATTCACTAACCGAGAACCGCGGCCTCGGACAGTTCATCCAAGTCCGAGGTCATGGTTCTCGATTGGAAAAAGGTGGCTGGCTTTTTCCAGGTGGGTGGACCGGCCCTGCCTAAAGCGGAGGAGGTCAAGTATCTCGGGGTTTTGTTCATGAGTGAGGGGAGGACTGAGTGTGAGATTGACAGACGGATCGGTGCAGCGTTGGCAGTGATGTGGACGCTGTATCGAACCGTTGTGGTGAAGAGGGAGCTCTCGATAAAGCTCTCGATTTACGGGTCAATCTACGTTCCTGCTCTCTCCTATGGTCATCAATCAATCAATCTTTATTTATAGAGCACTTTTCATACAAAAAAATACTTTTACAGTGATTAAAAACAACCCCACATTTCATTTAAGAAAACAGATGGATGGATGTTCACTGATTCGAAGGTTGGCGGTGCAGTTCAGTCTCCCGCAGATGAATGCTGCCGTTGTGTCCTTGGGCAAGACATTTAACCCACCTCGTCCCCAGTGTCTGTGTACACTGGTGTATGAAAATCCCGTGTATCATTCGTTCATTCGTTTTTCAATATAAAACCAAAAATAAGAAAATGAAAAAACAACAATTTTCTTCATTATTTGTCTCCAGAACCAAAATGAAAAAACAGATAATGATTCGTTTTTTCAGTTTTTCGATTTTGTGTTTAAATGAAGAATGGAAAAAAAAGATAACGTCCGTTTTCCGTTTACGTGACTTCCCGTGACTGCGATGCTGAACTTTTGCACCGCATACGGACTGAACCAGGACTGATCCAGGTCTGGGACCAGAGCGGGACCAGACCCAGAGCGGACTCCGAGCTTTGACTTCGAGCCTTCGCGGGGTCCGAGCCTCATTTTCGAGCTCTGGCCCTGCCGTGGGCTCTGAGCCTGCGGTCAGTCCCGGTCTCAGTCCCGGTCTCAGTCCCGGTCTCAGTCCCGGTCTCAGTCCCGGTCTCAGTCCCGGTCTCAGTCCCGGTCTCAGTCCCGGTCTCAGTCCCGGTCTCAGTCCCGGTCTCAGTCCCGGTCTCAGTCCCAGTTCAGTCCGTATGCGGTGCAGAAATCCGACATCGCAGTCACGGGAGTCACGTAAACGGGAAACGGCCGTTATCCATTTTTTCCATTCTTCATTTAACCACAAAATCAAAAACTGAAAAAACAAATCATTATCCGTTTTTTCATTTTGGTTTTGGAGACAAATAATGAAGAAAATTGTAGTTTTTTCATTTTCTTATTTTTGTTTTTATATTCAAAAACTAAAGAACGAATGATACACAGATTTATGAATGTGTGTGTGAAAGGATGAGAGGTTCCTTGGTGTAAATCGCTTCGAATGCCTTAAAGATGGAAAAGCGTAAATGTAAAAATGTGAAAATTTACCAAAAGTTATATAGTGCATCTTTAAATAATGAAGTGTAAAGTATAAATCTAAATGAGTCCAATCAGACAACTTAAATCTAAAACCTAACAGTATTAATTAAGATCACATTAAAGAAGTGTATAAATGTTCCTCCTTCTCTGTACTGAGGAGGTGTAGAAACAGACTTTACCTCTGTCTGAACCCGAGGAGCGCGGATATCGAACTGGAGGGATTTTAATTCTCTTGAACTGCCCCGCAGAAGCGCCTGAGAAAAGACAGAGTGAAATAAAACATTAAGAAAAAGAATTTGATTTGCATTAAGAGAAGAGACTACAGTGGTCCAGTAGATTTACACACGGCAAAAAAGCTTAGCCCAGGGTTCCCACTCTTTTTCACTTCACTTTCAAAACTTTTCCATGACTTTTTCATGACCTAATGTGACTTGACTTCTAAAATAAAAAGTAAGTGTTGTTGTAATATTTGTTTTAGTTCAGTTTGTTTGTTGTTATCTTAGTCAAGCTCTATGGCCACTGTCAGAGTAAAAAAGGTTTAGAAACTACAAATAAACAAGGAAGGAATATTACAGCAGCTTGTCTAAATCTTAAATAATAAAAAAGTTAACTCTTTATTGTCTGTTGCTAAAAACTTTACCTTTGTGATACAGTTTGTCCACTAGATGGCAGCAGGGTTCCCACTCCCACTTGACTTTTTCGTGACCTAAAGTGAATTTTCTATGACTTTACAGCACCTACATGTGTAGAAGTGATCAGACGTTTAGGGTTAAATATGAAATGTTAACACTTTCCACTCACCTTATGGTTTGGTTTTATAGTTTTTTAACATTCAAAATACTTTCAGTGCATTTATTATCATCTCTTTTAAACAAAAGGCACAGACGTTCGGAAATAATCATAATAGCTAAATGATAATTTAACTAAACGCTGTAGTTGCGTGAAAGAGATACTAAAATTCCATGACTTTTCAATTTAAAATTCTATGACTTTTCCAGGATTTCCATGCCCTTGGGAACCCTGCTGACCAAATTTTAAGATATAAACACTTAAATTGATCAGAAAATGACTTAAAATTAGTGAAATTATCCACGCAGCAAGATAATTTTACTTGACAAGTTATCTTAAAATAAACAACCTCTAGACTAGAATTAAGCTGTCTCAGAACTAGTAAGGATATAATAAATCTGAAAATATGATAAATATCCTGATATAAGTTTTAAAATCTTGGCCAGATCAGAGATATTTGCATGAGAAAATAAAATATATGAGGATAAAAGCAAACTCGGTGTGTCAAAATGAGACCGTAGTGTTCCGTTTGTATATAATCTACATATATACATTAAAAAAAAAGAGCCCAAAAAAATTTATTGGCAGAATTATCCTGACTGCTAAACTTAAAAGTGGTCAAAAGCGCTTATAAACTAACAGCTAACAAAACTATGTATGCTTTAGGTCAGTGAGGACAAACGTGCAAAAAAGTTTATAACTAGTTCTGTTTTTCATGTTTTTAAGACAGAAAAAAATCAGGTACAGCTCCTTTAATCTCACGAGATTTTCTTAACATTTCCAGTTCCAAACATTTCTCCCTCAGACATATTTCTTCCTTCTTAAGTCCAGCGCCGTCTCTTTGTTTCAGATTCACGTCAGACCTTCGTAATCTGTAAATTATTAACAAACCGTCTGTGCACGAAGCAAAGAGAAACTCTGCGTTATACTTATTATCAAGAGAGAAGTGTCCGATCATTATTAAAACATAAAAGACATTTCATCTTCAGGGTAAACTAAACTAAACAGGAGAAACAGGTGCAGTATCCTCTAGTGTCGTTCTCTACAGTGTTTTCAGATCTGTAGCCTCCAGCGTTTCTCTGAAGACAATCAAAACTCACAGCGTAAAAAGAAACAGCTCAAACTCACCAACAACATCGTGACTAATTTATAAGATACTAGAACAGTTTTGAGAGAAAAAAAAGACAAAAAAAAAAAAAAAGAAGAGAAATTTATCTATAGCGGAGAGCAAATTAACAGTATAGAATTATCTTTGGTGAAGTATGTAAAAGGAGCTACCAACCCAAAAGGTTTATGCCAGAGGTTTTCAATATGTGAGGGAGGTGGGCCTCACCCTGGGCCACTGGGGAGACACGACTCACACGAACTAAACCAGGACTGATCCCAGGACTAAACCAGGAGGACTAAACCAGAACGACTAAACCAGGACTAAACCAGAAGGACTAAACCAGGACTAAACCAGGAGGACTAAACCAGAAGGACTAAACCAGGACTAAACCAGGAAGGACTAAACCAGAAGGACTAAACCAGGACTAAACCAGGAGGACTAAACCAGAAGGACTAAACCAGGACTAAACCAGGAGGATTAAACCAGGACTAAACCAGGAGGACTAAACCAGAACGACTAAACCAGGACTGATCCCAGGACTAAACCAGAAGGACTAAACCAGGACTAAACCAGGAGGATTAAACCAGGACTAAACCAGGAGGACTAAACCAGAACGACTAAACCAGGACTAAACCAGGAGGACTAAACCAGAACGACTAAACCAGGACTAAACCAGGAGGATTAAACCAGGACTAAACCAGGAGGACTAAACCAGAACGACTAAACCAGGACTAAACCAGGAGGACTAAACCAGAACGACTAAACCAGGACTAAACCAGAACGACTAAACCAGGACTAAACCAGGAGGACTAAACCAGGACTGAGTGTCAGGACGGGGCCCGGAGGTGCGCCTGAGCGCAGGCGAAAGGACCGACGCAGAGCTCCTCGCCCCACAGGGTTAATTGCTGGGGGTTCTCCCTCTCTCAAGTCCAAGATTAGTCCTGCTTTAGACCTGCTTTATTCCTGCTTCAGCCCTGCTTTAGTCCTGGTATAGACCTGGTATAGACCTGGTATAGTCCTGGTTTAGTCCTGGTTTAGTCCTGGTTTAGTCCTGGTATAGACCTGGTATAGACCTGGTTTAGTCCTGGTTTAGTCCTGGTTTAGTCCTGGTTTAGTCCTGGTTTAGTCCTGGTATAGACCTGGTATAGACCTGGTATAGACCTGGTATAGACCTGGTATAGACCTGGTTTAGTCCTGGTTTAGTCCTGGTTTAGTCCTGGTTTAGTCCTGGTATAGACCTGGTATAGACCTGGTATAGACCTGGTATACCTGGTAGTCCTGGTTTAGTCCTGGTTTAGTCCTGGTTTAGTCCTGGTTTAGTCCTGGTTTAGTCCTGGTTTAGTCCTGGTTTAGTCCTGGGGCGTCCTTACCTACTCTAAGGGGAGGCTCACATTCACCCACTTTGAAAACCCCTGGTAAACACAAAATATACAATAAGAACATTTATGTTATATTTAGTTATAGTACATTTTCAGATAGTACGAGCCATATGTTTTGTAAAATTAAAACTGAAGAAAACTGAAGTCTGACTCAAAGAGCTAAACATCTGGTGCTTTTATAAAAAATTCAAATTACAAGTTATTATAAGTTATACTCCCACGTCATACACCATACTGCTGTAAAATTATAACAACTTCAATGTGATTTAGTTTAGTTTTAAGTCAGTTTCTTATTCAATTATTAATTAATAGTTATTAAACTCATGTGGACTCGTTCATTTGACAAGTTACACATGGTTAATAAAGTTTTGATCCACACATTTAGAGCTGCAGTTATTTCAGTAGTGTTTTTTTCTGATTGATGCAGTTAAATGATAAAGTTAAAATAATTGTGTTGAGACAAACTGTGTCGTGTTGTGTCTCTGTCGTGTCGTGTCTGTGTAGTGTCTGTGTAGTGTCTGTGTCGTGTCTGTGTAGTGTCTGTGTAGTGTCTGTGTAGTGTCTGTGTAGTGTCTGTGTGTGTTGTGTCTGTGTAGTGTCTGTGTAGTGTCTGTGTGTAGTGTCTGTGTAGTGTCTGTGTTGTGTCTGTGTTGTGTTGTGTTGTGTCTGTGTTGTGTCTGTGTTGTGTCTGTGTTGTGTCGTGTTGTGTGTGTTGTGTTGTGTCGTGTTGTGTCTGTGTTGTGTCTGTGTAGTGTCTGTGTTGTGTCTGTGTAGTGTCTGTGTAGTGTCTGTGTAGTGTCTGTGTTAGTGTCTGTGTGTGTTGTGTCTGTGTTGTGTCTGTGTAGTGTCTGTGTTGTGTCTGTGTTGTGTCTGTGTTGTGTCGTGTGTCTGTGTGTGTGTGTGTGTGTGTGTGTGTGTTGTGTCTGTGTTGTGTCTGTGTTGTGTCTGTGTTGTGTCTGTGTGTGTTGTGTCTGTGTTGTGTCTGTGTAGTGTCTGTGTAGTGTCTGTGTAGTGTCTGTGTGTGTTGTGTCTGTGTTGTGTCTGTGTTGTGTCTGTGTTGTGTCTGTGTGTTGTGTCTGTGTTGTGTCTGTGTAGTGTCTGTGTAGTGTCTGTGTAGTGTCTGTGTAGTGTCTGTGTAGTGTCTGTGTTGTGTCTGTGTTGTGTCTGTGTTGTGTCTGTGTGTGTCTGTGTTGTGTCTGTGTTGTGTCTGTGTTGTGTCTGTGTTGTGTCTGTGTGTGTCTGTGTTGTGTCTGTGTTGTGTCTGTGTGTTGTGTCTGTTGTGTAGTGTCTGTTGTGTGTGTCTGTGTTGGGTCTGTGTTGGGTCTGTGTTGGGTCTGTGTTGGGTCTGTGTTGGGTCTGTGTTGGGTCTGTGTTGGTGTCTGTGTAGTGTCTGTAGTGTCTGTAGTGTCTGTGTAGTGTCTGTGTAGTGTCTGTGTTGTGTCTGTGTTGTGTTAGTGTCTGTGTTTGTGTCTGTGTTGTGTAATGTGTGTGTCTGTGTTGGGTCTGTGTTGGGTCTGTGTTGGGTCTGTGTGTGTGGTGTGTGTTGGGTCTGTGTTGGGTCTGTGTTGGTTGTCTGTGTTGTTGTGTCTGTGTTGTGTGTCTGTGTCTGTGTCTGTGTTGTGTCTGTGTTGGTCTGTGTCGTGTCTGTGTGTGTCTGTGTGTGTCGTGTCTGTGTCTGTGTCTGTGTCGTGTCTGTGTCGTGTGTGTGTGTTGTGTCTGTGTGTGTTGTGTCTGTGTGTGTGTCTGTGTCTGTGTCTGTGTCTGTGTCTGTGTCGTGTTGTGTCTGTGTCTGTGTCGTGTCTGTGTCGTGTCTGTGTCTGTGTCGTGTCTGTGTCGTGTCTGTGTCGTGTCTGTGTCGTGTCTGTGTCGTGTCTGTGTTGTGTCTGTGTTGTACCTGTCCTGCTGCTGGAGGGGAGAGAGTTGGAGTTGTGAGAGGCGCTGCTCTCGCTCACGTCTCCAGAGCGTTTGTGACTCAGATCCAAACTCAGAGCTCCCTGGTGCTGAGGGCTGAAAGACAGAGAGAGAGGGAGAAGAGAGAAAGAAAGAGGGAGAGAGGGAGAAGAGAGGGAGAAGAGAGAAAGAGGGAGGGAGGAGGAGAGAGGCAGAAGAGAGAGAGAAGAGAGAGAGGGAGAAGAAAGAAATGGTAGGGAGGGAGAAGAGAGAAAGAAAGAGGGAGAGAGAAAGAGAGAAGAAAGAAGAGAGAGAAAGAGAGAAGAGAGGGGGGGAGAAGAGAGAAAGAGAGAGAGAGAAAGAAGAGGGAAGAAGGGGGAGAAAAGAAAGGAGAAAAAGACAGAGAGAGAAGAGAGAAAGAGAGAGGGAGGGGGAGGGAGAAGAAAGAAAAAGAAAGAAAGAGGGAGTGGGAGAAAAGAAGGGAGAAGAGAAGAAGAGAGAGAGAGAGGGGGGGAGAGAAAAAGAGGGAGGGAGGGAGAAATAGAGGGAGGAAGATGGGGTGAGGGGGAGAGGGAGAAAAATAAGGAGAGAGAGAGAAGGAGGGAGCGAGGAAGAGGCAGGGAGGGAGAAAGAGGGGGAGAGATTGAGAAAGGTAGAGGGACAGAAAAGGAGGGAGAGAGAAGGGGAGGGGGAAGAGAGGGAGAGACAGAGGAAAAAAGAGGGAGAGAGAGAGAGGGGAGAGAAAAAGATGGATAGGGAAGAAGAGGAGGCGAGAGGGAGGGAGAAGAGAGAAAGAGAAAGAGAGAGGGGAGAAGAGAGGGAGGGAGGGAGAAGAGAGAAAGAGGGAGGGAGGAGGAGAGAGGGAGAAGAGAGGGAGAAGAGAGACAGAGAGAGAGAAGAGAGAGAGGGAGAAGAAAGAAATGGTAGGGAGGGAGAAGAGAGAAAGAAAGAGGGAAAGAGAAAGAGCGAAGAAAGAAGAGAGAGAAAGAGAGAAGAGAGGGGGGAGAAGAGAGAGAGAAAGAGAGAGGGAGGGGGAGGGAGAAGAAAGAAAAAAGAAAGAGAGGGAGTGGGAGAAAAGAAGGGAGAAGAGAAGAAGAGAGAGAGAGAGGGGGAGAGAAAAAGAGGGAGGGAGGGAGAAATAGAGGGAGGGAGATGGGGTGAGGGGGAGAGAGGGAGAAAAATAAGGAGAGAGAGAGAAGGAGGGAGCGAGGAAGAGGGGGAGAGATTGAGAAAGGTAGAGGGACAGAAAAGGAGGGAGAGAGAAGGGGAGGGGGAAGAGAGGGAGAGACAGAGGAAAAAAGAGGGAGAGAAAAAGATGGATAGGGAAGAAGAGGAGGAGAGAGGGAGGGAGAAGAGAGAAAGAGCGAGAGGGAGAGAAAAGGAGGGAGGGACAGAGACGGCAGGGGGAGAGAGAGAGACACAGAGGAAGAGGAGGCCCACTGGAATCAATTATTGAGTTTGGAGGAAACATCTGTTCACATCTGCTCCACAGTAACAATAACAACGTGTGAAGCAAACATCAGCCGCGTCTTCATTTACATATTTGGAACGTTTCAGAAAAACACTGCTTTGATTTACAACAGAACCTTCTGAAAAACCTGCAGAGGGAAGCAGCAGGATGTGTTTTCCAGATTTGATTTCAGAGCGATGGTTTTAAAGAATTTGGGATGAAAAAAGTATTTAATAGGTCTGACATGTAACGTTCGTCTCCATGGAGATGTACAGGTCATACTGTGGAACATTCCAAGCACAGTAATAAAGATGTCGGTGGACGGTTCTGGACTGAAGATCCGTATTATTCTGGTTAAAAGATCTATTTTTCAGACAACACGGACTTGTTTTTGTAGTAAAAGCTTCTCCCTTATGACTTTTTCTAAGAGCACCAGCAGAGGGCGCAAGGGCTAAGGAGGAAATATATAGAGGCTTACAGTGGGGAACGTTGCACAACTCCAGGTACCGTATTTTTTGGACTATAAGTCGCACTTTTTTTCATGGTTTGGGTGCTCCTACAACTTATATATTAAAATGTTCACACTGAGGCGTCAAGAGGTTCTAGTCTTGTGTGTGAGTATCTGCTGCTCCTGTTCCTCCTGTACCACTGTCACTTGGCTCTACTGCGCATGTCTCTTGTAGAACGAGTCACTGTCCTGCTGCAAGTAGTGAAATATTCAGCCAAAAATGGTAATCGAGCAGCAGAAAGAAAGTTTGGAGTGAGCGAGAAACTTGTGAGGGACTGGCAGAAAGCGAGGATGGAGAACACAACTTCACGGCAACCGGGAGGATTCTTTCCTGGAAGTGACTGGATGGATGGACAAATCTGGACTTCAGTGACACCGAAACCATCCTGTCGGGATTCAGAAAGAAAATAATTCTAACTGGAACTGATGCTGAGTCTGACGACATTGACACAGAAGAGGAAGCGGCGCTCTGTTTACCTCCGGAGGTCGTGGAGTTGCTCAGAAGTGACACCGAGGATGAAGAATTGAATGGATTTAGTGATTTGGAGTGAGATGGAGAGTTTGTTAAACTTGTTCTGTTGTTTATGTTATAGTTTATCTGAAGAACTGTTCATATGTGACGTTAACAGTCTGTTGTTCTGTTGTTATTACTAGAACTTGACTTTCAAGATAAAATGTCGGCTCCTGGTCTCTGATTTTATAAAATATATTCCCCCCAAAAAGTGCGATTTATATGTTTTTTTCTTCTTCATTACTCATTTTTTGGCTGGTGCGACTTATAGTCCAAAAAATACAGTATATGTTGATGCAATAAAATTACTGCGTGACTACAGAGTAAATGAACCTTGTAGCTGTTGTATTTTTTGTGTGTGGAAATTATAGTTGTTGTATTTTGTGTGTGAGTGGACGACATTATAGTAGTTGTATTTTGTGTGTGAGTGGACATTATAGTAGTTGTATTTTGTGTGTGAGTGGACATTATAGTTGTTGTATTTTGTGTGTGAGTGGACATTATAGTTGTTGTATTTTTTGTGTGTGAGTGGACATTATAGTAGTTGTATTTTGTGTGTGAGTGGACATTATAGTTGTATTTTGTGTGTGAGTGGACATTATAGTAGTTGTATTTTGTGTGTGAGTGGACATTATAGTTGTTGTATTTTGTGTGTGAGTGGACATTATAGTTGTTGTATTTTGTGTGTGAGTGGACATTATAGTTGTATTTTGTGTGTGAGTGGACATTATAGTTGTTGTATTTTGTGTGTGAGTGGACATTATAGTTGTTGTATTTTGTGTGTGAGTGGACATTATAGGTGTCGTACCTCGTGTGTGAGTGGGCAGTGGAGTTGTTGGCCGAGGGGCAGTTGTTGTTCTGGACTTCGTGGCTCCAGGCCGTGTACACCGGGTTCCTCATCACTGCAGTGACGGCGGAGCACGGGGACAGGCCTCTCTGAGCTGGGTCTGAGGAGAAAAAGAATATTTAAAATTAAAACTACTAATACTGCAGTGTTTCTCAGACCAGAGTTAATTTGTTGACCAATTTGACCAATTTCTATACATGGTTCCTTTCACTTAAAAAAATCAGAGTGTGCATTTAAAAGTGCGCCTTGTAACTTTTCTTTTTTGTGTGTTCTTTGTTTATTTTTACAGGGTAGCCTCTTGAGAACATTTAACTGTGTTCTGAGCAATGAAAAACACCATAATCGAATCTCCAATCCCCCACGAGGAAAGATCCATAGTGCAGCTTTAACATGTTTGACGGTTATGTTAAGTCTCTTACGTCCGGAGATGGTGCTGTAGTTCGGCGGGGAGAAGGGCATGCTGTAGCGATTGCTCCTCATGGGAGAAAACCGTAAAATGTCGGTGGGTTCGGGAGAGTGCTCGTCATTCGAGAAACTTTGTACCTGAAGAATAAAAGAGAACATGGCTTCAGTAAAATGATGTGATCACAGTGAACACAGTGTAAACATAAAAGTGACCAGTGATTATGAAAATAACCTTTAGATCACGAGTATTATCAAACTATTACTTCAATACAGTTAAAATGTGTCAATAGAGAGTCTATATTTGACACTTTTGGACGTAGGACCTCATTTCCTAGTGAGCCAGAGCGTTGGAGACACTTTTTAAAATATTAAATCCAGTCCTTGTATTTGCAGAGGTCACTGCTGCTAGGCTAGTGCATGTCAATGGCCATAGTTTTCCTGCCACTAAAAACAGTCTCACCCACTCCACAAAACACCCGAAGAAAATCTATTATTACACCAGACTGTCCATGTAAATGTCTGTGTCGATAGAATAATTTTAGAAGTAAAACCAACCTTGTATTTGAAAGATTTATGTCTGAGCAGCAGCACTGAGTTGTACTTCCTGACAGAAAGGTCGGCAATGGTGGACTGATATCACCTAGCACCAACTGGCTCTGTAATAGTTTATTTACCTGCAGCTTCCATTGTGACACACAGAGCACAGGAAGAAGCCTGTTCCAGTTATGGCCACGTTCATATCATCACAACTAACTAGAGCAGAGTAAAATTCCGCTGCTGCTGAGAAAATAGTCCCTCAACGTGCAACGATTCATGCGATACAAGGTTAGTTTTATTTCTAAAATAATTCTATCAACACAGACATTTACATGGACAGTCTGGTGAAATAAAAGTTTTTCTTCGGGTGTTTTGTGGAGTGTTTTTAGTGTCAGGAAAACTATGACCATTGACATGCACTAGTCTAACACCAGTGACCTCTGCAAATACAAGGACTGGATGGAATATTTAAAAACGAGTCTCCACACGTCTCCAACACTCTGGATCACTAGGAAATGAGGCACTATGTCCAAAATTCATTTTAAAAGTGTTTTGCTCCAGGTTTTGATGGACAGACAAGCAATTAAACACGCATATGATGAAAAGATTTTTGACAGAATCACTGAAAAGATGCTTTGTACCAGACTATAGTTCTCCAAGCCAATTTTTAATCAAGCTAATTCAGTAATTCAAAACAGTAATATTTGGAATCATAAATTTCAATTAGGTATTTTTTTTAATTTAATTTTCAATTAATTGTCCCTATTATGTCTTATTCTAAAAAGGTAAAAACATTGATACACATTACATTAAGTAGGGATGCACCAATTCCATATCAGATCCTGTAAAATTTGCTGGATCAGATATTGGCTTGGACACTTAAACTTCAGCCTAAACCCATTCGGTCTATAGAATAACTTTCAGTGATATGGATAAAGTGCATAATTTTTTGTGTTAAATCATTGTAATATGATGCATGGTTATGTTAACGGACTGAAGAAAATAAACTAAACTAATCTAACTTGATTCAATAAGACTATTTACATGTTGTAGCTGCCCAGAAAGATTCAAACTTCTTTTTTTTACATTTTATTTATTCTTCTGTTGTTACTTACAAAGATAAATAACAGCTACATAACACATTTGGATCAATTTTGTCTTATGTTATTTTTTGGTTTAAGGAAATAAATGCAAATTTCAGTCTCTGCATCAGCTGATACTTAAAGAAATAGTATCAGAATTGGTACTAGAACTGAAAAAACTGGATCGGTGCGTCTCAATTCCTAATAAATAAACTTGATAATACCCCGGACTAGTTACCTGCATGGGCATGGGGATGTGCAGAGGTGTGACGTTCCTTCTCGACGCCGGGGCAGATTTGGGCCTGTACCTCCTCACTCTCTCTCTCTGCGCTTGAGTCTCCGCCCTGTGCCTCCCCCCTTCCTCCTCCGCCGCTCTCCCGCCTCCCTTCCCTTCCCCCGTATCCGAAAAAAACTGCTCCCCTTCCCGCTCTCTTTCCCTGTCCCCGTCGAGCAATCCCGGCGCGATACCGGTCGGCGACGTAGGGGGCGTACCGGTCGTTATCGTAGAATCCGACGCCGAGCTGTTCTGCTGCCTGTGCTTAAATCTGAACGAATCGCTTCTGGTCGGAGGCGTGGGAGGAGTTTCCGAAATGGAACTTTGCGGAGAGTGTTTCGGAACTTGAGATAAGGAGAGATAATCCAGTTTGGGAGGAGCGTCTGGTCTCCTGAAGCCTGCGATGTCGAATATAGATTTCCTCTGCTTGGGTTTTTTGAAAATAGAAAGATTGAAAGAGGTGCATTCGGGGACGGACGTGCCGACAATAACTTTAGGCCACGTTCCGCCGGTAGGTTGCGTCGAGTTTCCTCGTTCTAGATTGGCTTGGGGAGGGGAAAAATCGGATGAAACTTGAGTAAAATTCGCCACTGGTCGATGCGGGATGTCTTGCCTTCTGTAGCAATAATCCGGGTGCGTTTCTGAAGGACTATGGGGCGAAACCGGAGCGACGTTGTGAGATAAAGATCGAGAATGTAAACTGTTAGAGTACGAGTGGTTGCTGTGGCTGCTGTCTTGTTCGCAGTTGCAGCCGTTTTCGTTGTTGCCGGGGCAGTTCGATTTGGGGCAGTTGTTGTTGTTGTTGTGTTTGGAGTTTCGGCAGTTTCGAGAGTGGACGTCGCAGGACTGGAGACGAGACGCGGACTTTTCGGAGTCTCGGGAGTTTTCGAATAATAAACTCTGGCCTGAACAGCTCTGAGGAAAAATCTGGAAAAAAAAAGAAGGGGAAAAAAAAATGAAATTGTAAAAAGTACACATTGCAGTTTCTGTATGGTGCCTACAAAATGTTTTTCCTTTCTTGAGTTAGTTCTTGTGCAGAAATACTTAAAGGTACACTATGTAACTTTTTGGTTGGGCTTCTTGTTTCTATGGAGATGCAAATGCTCTGCCTGGAATGTTCCACAGTATGACATTAAACACCTCTACCTTCCTTACATTTATTCAATTAACTGTGGTTTTAGAGCTCAAAAACACCTAGAAAAACAGACATTCTGACTGTGAGCGGGGTCGCCTCTCCACAGATCTGACCTGTAGGTGGTTTTCGTGAAGATAGAAAGGTTTAATGCCACACTGTGAAACATTCCAGACAAAGGGACATCTCAATCCAATCCAATCCACTTTATTTCACAAAGAAACAGCTTCCAAAGTGCTGCACAAATACATAATAATTAACAATAATAAAATGATAAAATAAACACTTAGATTTAATCATACTACTCTTAAAATAATAAAATCAGTAAAATAAAACAAGGAGCAAAATCATAAAATAGCAATAAATATATAAAGCCAATAAAATACTTTAAAAATAAATAAATAAAATAAATAAAAGACACAGAGGAGCACACAACTCAAGCGGTTTGAAAAGCCAGAGAATAAAAGTGGGTTTTAAGACGAGACTTAAACACTCTTAAAACACTGTGGGGGCTGTTCGGACACGGGGGGGCAGAGCGTTCCAGAGTTTGGGGCCGGCCACAGAGAAGACAATGTCCTCTCTGGTTTTAAGTCTCGTCTTAGGCACCACGAGCTGGAGTTGGACCTCGGATCTCAGAGCGCGCAGGAGTATAAATTTGGATGAGGTCTGAGACGTACTGTGGGGCCAGTCCATTCAAATCTTTAAAAACAAACAATAAAATCTTAAAATCAATTCTAAAATTGAACAGGAAGCCAGTGCAAAGACACAAGGATTGGGGTAATGCGCTCTCTCCTTTTTGTTCCTGTTAAAAGTCGCGCCGCAGAGTTTTGGACGAACTGTAGTCGGTAAATTACGTTTTGTGAGATGCCGGAATAAAGTGCGTTACAGTTGTCCAGGCGTGATGAAATAAAAGCGTGCATGACTTGTTCAAAGAGTTTAAAAGATAAAAAAGGTTTGACTAAAATGATAAAAACTTGATTTTAAAACACCGTGGAGAAGAGCTTTGACGGATCCTTCACCAGAAAAGTTACACAATGCACTTTTAAAATGAACTTTCAATCAATCAATCAACAACTTTATTAATCCCAAAGGGCAATTCAGTTCTCACATCTCTGGTCACGCACAATATATAAATATAAATAATGAAGAAAAAGAAAGACAGACACCAGACGTTCAAACCACAGAGCATCAGGGACACAGCAACAAATTCACTTTCCATTTAAAATCCTTATGGCAGAAGGAATAAAAGATTTGGCGTAGCGGTTGGTCTTTTGCTGTGGGGTGACATAGCGCCTCCCAGAGGGCATTTTCATGAACTGTGGGTGCAGAACATGGTTAGTCTGGCTCAGTTTGGCCTTAGTCTTTTGTAACACCCGATGTCTCCACACAGAGGCCAAATCCTCCATCTGAACACCATTGATTTTGCTGCAAACTTTTACAATCTGGTTCAGACTGTTCTTGTCTTTCACAGATAACAAAATTATATTATAAAAACATAAAATTTAATCGCAATTGCAAAGCATGTCAGAAAAAAAATAAATCACAATTAAATATATTTGTCAAATCATTCTGATCTAGAGCCAAGCTACAAATTTTACCTTTACGAGAGAGACACTGAGAGCATCCCGGCAGTTTCTCAATAAAGCTTCACACTCAGACAGAGACTTGTTGTCCAAAGCGATTCCGTTTATCTGTGGGGAAAAAAAATATACATACATTATCAGAGGTGCAGCTCTAAACCAATATTCACATAACTAGGAGTAGAAGAGACAATTTATACAAGACAAGATGAGATTTCACAATTCAGTTTCCAATTTTGGCCTCACCATTTTTTTAAATGTATTTGATTTCATAGTTTTGTTTACATTTTAGTGCTGCTTTTTGGAATTGTAAGAGATTAAACTCGCTAATACATAACCTTTTTTTGTCTAATCCAAATATAAACAGTTTATTTTTCTCATGTGTGCACAATCTTCAGGCAATTTTGTCTCACGAGATCTTGTAACATCCCTTTCATGTACTATAAAATGTTCAACAAACATTTTATTTGGCCACGAAGAAACTTGAAGTATGTTTGTGGTGATGAAACAACATTATAACGATCAGAAAACAGAGTAATATGGGCCCTTAAAACTTGTGCAATTTTAATTTTTGAGCACAAGAGGGCACAAGACGACTGCAGTATAAAATGTACAGAACTACTTCATAAAAACAGTTGTACATTATTGTATTTGTGTATTCTGGATACGAGACAGATACTCACAGTTAACAGTCTGTCCCCGACGGTCAGAGCTCCTTCTCTCGCTGCTGGACTCCCGGGGGCCAAAGTAGCGACAAAAACTCCACTTTCTAAACCAATTCCACTTTCTGAAAAATAAACAAAAAGAAGTGAAAATGTGCAAATAGCAATGACTCAGGGAAACTAAGATTATTTGCTCATTTCCAAAGACTGGGATTGGGTTCAAAACGTATTATTCTTGTCATAATAATTTTAATATCGTAAATAATCTTGTGTTTGTGGTTGAATGATGTGATAAATTTTTATGCAACATTCAAAGACAAATTAAATTTCAGTTGAATTAAGCTGAAAAAAAGAGATTTTCAACTTTGTGTTAGTTTTATTCATGCAGAAAGGTTGGTCAAAATAATATAAAAAAGTATTCTAATCATTTTTAGGGATGCATGATCCAGCTTTTCCAGTTTCGATACAGATTTCGATACTGTAGCTTTAAGTATCTGCCTGTACCCGATATCAACGGATACCAGAGGTGAGAGGGAAAACAGTACTACTTTCCTTTAACAAAATTAAAATAGGACAAAATTGAGCCAAATGTGTTATGGTCTTATTTTTATACAGCTCTTTTTCACCTTCAAATCTCTCGAAGCGCGTTAAAGCAAGTAACCGCTCAGTCATTCACACAAACATTCATACACCAGTGTACACAGACACTAGGGGAGAGGTCTTGTCCAAGGACACAATGACAGCATTCATCTGTGGGAGTTAGAATCGCACAGCCAATCTGCGCGTCAATGGATCTGACCACTGAACAAATGATTTATTTTTTATGTCAAGACCAGGATTGAAGCCACCAACCTTGGGATCAGTAGACACACATTCTACCAAATGAGTTACTGTCACCTCGTGTGTTATGTAGCTGTTATCAATCGCTCAAGTAACTACAGAACAGCTTTTAATTATTTATTTATTTTTTAATTAAAGGTTGTATAGAGGATTTTTTAAAGGGAAAAGAAATACAGCGACAGTCCTTTTTCAAATGTTGTGCATGCGTGACACCACCTTCCTCCTCCACGTAATCCCCGTGCGCCGCGAGTCAGTTACACTAGAAATGTAGGGAATTTGATTGACAACCTAACAGCCAATAGATAAAGAGGGAGCCTCGTTGTCTATTGGCTGATGTTTATCTGGCCTCACTACGTCCGCAGTTGATGGATTTTCATTCTTTTTTTTTTTTTTGTCATCATAATTACAAGGCTGCTGCGTCTCTGTAATGGTGTTTTAAACTTTCACTGACAATTTGAAACTAAAAACAAATCCTCCATACAACCTTTAATCATTGCATTTATATAGCGCCTTTCAAGACACCCAAAGCGCTTTACAGTTCAGTATTCATTCACTCAACACTCAGTGGTGGTAAACTACTACTACTACTACTACTGGAAGCGAGGCTGCCAATCTGCGCCATCAGTCCCTCCGACCACCACCATCTCTCACACACACCACTTTTCATACATGGCAGTGTGGGTGAAGTGTTTTGCCTAAGGTCTTTTTGTGACTGGCGCGCCCCTGTGGCACCTGGTTTTCCCAGTTGTCTCCCATCCAAGTACTAACCAGACCAGACCCGGCGTCTGAGCTTCTGAGATCTGACGAGATCAGGCTTTGACAAGTCGGCATGGCCACAACAGCTTTTAAGACTTTCTGTGCCGTTTACCACCAGTAAACAGTCTTATTACATTGATTTGTGTCAAACCAGGATATCAAATGAACTGATATTCCATCCAGCAAAGGATTCAGGATATTCAGGATGTTCAGGATATTCGATACCAGTTGCATCCCGAAAAATTTTTATAAACGCAACTCAATTAGTTCACATCTTGACATTTTGTGTCCACACCAGCCTGTGAAACCCCAATTCTGTCAGATCTCAGAAGATATGAAGGTCCTGGTTGATATTTGGATGGGAGATCGCTGGGAAAATCAGGCGCCACAGGGGGGCGCTAGTGGCAAAAAAAAACTGTTGCTGTGTCCTTAGGCAAGACACTTCACCCACATTGCCTAGTATGAATGTGCAGCCCTCGCTTCTGTCAGTCTGTGGTTACAATAAAATCTTACTATCACTGAGTGTGGAGTCAATGAAAAAAGTGTTTTTGTGTGTCCAAAAGTGCACTATACAAAACTGATCCATTATTATATTATTGTTTATTATTATTATTGTGGACAACATTTTTATTTCATGAAGATAAGTCTGGTAATTACAAGGATATTAACCATACAAGATAACTTTATTTTGGCAACTGCCAACCAATTAAAATACTTAGCCGTCCTCCACCTGAATTTCAAACTATTTATGAGCCTTTTATGATTTAATTTGTCTTATCCATGCGTTTGTCTCCAGTAGGTTAGATACTGTAATGTTCTGCTCACTGGTCTCTCCAAACGAGCTGTGAGACGCTGCAGAACATCCAGAACATCCAGAACGCTGCAGCTCGGGTCCTGACTCGAACTAGGAAGTACGAGCACATAAGTCCTGTGCTCAGGTCTCTGCACTGGCTCCTGTGCCTCAGAGACTTTAAAGCAGCTCTGCTTGTACAAGTGTCTCCATGGCCGAGCACCAAAGTCCATCTGTGACATGTTAGTGTCATATGAACATCTCACACTCTGAGGAGCTCAGGGACCGACCTCCTGCTGGTGCCCAGAGTCACGACTAAACAAGGGGAGTCAGAGTTTCAGGTTCATGCAGCTAAAACCTGGAACAGTCTGAACATGTGAGACAGACTCTTCTGTGACGCTGTTTAAATCCAGACTCAAAACATTTCTGTTTAACTGTGCAAATAACTGAAAGGTTTTCATTCCGCACTCTTCTCTCCAATTTATGTATTTCTTTTCTAATTTTAATCTTCATGATTATTTATGTTTTGATTAGTTTTTATTGTGATTTTAATGTATTTCTTATTCTGTAAAGCACTTTGAATTACTTTGTGTACGAATTGTGCTATACAAATAAACTTGCCTTGCCTTAATTTAATTTGAACCTAACTCATAGAAAGTAATGCATCTCCCACCTTTGCTTCCGGTCAGGTTGATCTGAACAGGTGTGATGACGCGTCCTCCCAGTGACTTCCTCCTTCGTACGACCATATTCAGGACGCCCTCCCCGCTCAGCACCGCCTTAATCACCTGCTTCCTGTCCTTGTTGGTCAGATCGACGTCATTCACTTTCAAGAGCCAATCATTCACTCTGAAATCAGAATATAACAAAACAATATTACAAAATGTTCAGACAATTGCATGATAATGATTTAAGAAACTTGGGGTACCTCAGTCTTCCTTCTGCGATACTTCCTTTGTCCACTTTACTCACAAAAACTCCACAGTCTCCTGGTAAATACGGATCATTTACCCCCTCGGAAATGTCAAACCCAAGTGCCTTCAAATCCATGTCCTGGAAAACAAAACATAATAATAATTTACATCACAATAAATCCATTTAGCGAACATTGGACAAGCTAAAACTAAAATCGTAGTCTTAAAATCTAGAAAAATTGGTTTGAATTTGAATTTTAAGATCTAGATATTGGCACGAAAATTTTTATATAAACTTGAATGAAACGTGAAGTCATTTTTCAAGGTTTTTAAGAGCATACCAAAATAAAATGACCTGTATATACGTCTATAAAGAATATTGGGGCATTTTTTATTTTTCTGGGATGTAAAAATCCTGATCTGATTGGCATAAAATGGAGTCAAAGACAATTCTGGAGAGTAGAATGAGACTTACATAGGAGTTTATGCCATCGAAGCTGGGGATATTTAGAGCAGAGAATAAAATAAACCACTGAATATTCTAACTATTGTCTTACTCTTTGTTTCTCCAGCTCCACCACTTCTGTTTCCCACTCGATGGAGTCCGTGTCGATGGCCGAGTCGTGGGAGCTGTGAGCCATGAGCTGATGGAACCGAGCCTCCTTCTCCAGCTGGTTCTCCATCTTCTCTCTAAAATAAAAAGCAAGTACTGTTTTAGTGATTTGTTTTAGTTCAGTTTGTCGTTGTTGTCATCTTAGTCGAGCTCTATGGCCACTGTCAGAGTAGAAAAAGTTAAGAAACTACAAATAATCTAGGAAGACAGGACTATTACATCTCTGTCTATTAATACAAAAACTTGCCTAAATCTTATGGAAAGTTAATTCTTTATTGTCTGTTCCTAAAAACTATACTTTTGTGGCACAATTTGTCCACTAGATGGGAGCAGGGTTCCCACTCTTTTTCACTGACAAAACTTCAAAACTTTTCCATGATTTTTTCATGACCTAAAATTAATTTTCCATGACTTTATGGCACCTACATGTGTAGAATTGATCAGACTTTTAGGGCTAAATATGAAATGTTAACTCTTTCCACTCACCTTATGGTTTGGAATTATAGTTTTTTAACATTCAAAATCCTGTCAGTGCATTTATTGTCGTCTTTTTTTAAATAAAAGGCGCATAATCATAATAGTCTAATGAGAACTTAACGGAACGCTGTAGTTGTGTGAAAGAGATTCTAAAATTCCATGACTTTTCCAAAACTTTCTTTGAATATACAACATTCCATGAACTTTTCCAGGCTTGGAAATTGACGTTTTCAAATTTCCATGACTTCTCCAGGATTTCCATGACTGTAGGAACCCTGTGGCACTCAGTGTGAAGAGCAGAGATATTCTACTGCAGAAGAAAAGTAAGTAAAAGTAAAGCCGGGCATACATTGTGCGATTTTTGGCACTTTTTGAGCCGATATTTCACTCGTGCGACTGTTTTTGGGACCGGGCCGAGTTTTGGCTTAAGTCTGTGTCGTGCTCTGTGTAGTTTACAAGAGGCAACGAGAACCCATTAATAATACCTCACCACCAGCTCCCTATCAGCAAACGTAGGTCGCAAGAAAATCAAACCCGTTTGAAATCCAGTCGCCTCTCGTGAGGGTTTCGCTTTGTTGAAGTTGTTCATATAGTGTGAGAACATGAATCGTGAGCTGTGAACTTTTAACTCTTTCCCCCCTGGACGCCTACTAGGAACAACCCATACATATGTTACTAGTTCTACCCATAGAGCATAACTGCATAAAAGAAAACAGACTTCCACCAGTGATTATAAATGATTTTTACACTCATGAACTTAATTGTAACACAGACATATTTGTATCTCTGGAAACCTTAGACTCTGAACTATTCATTTATGGATGTTTAAATGTGATTCAACTCATTTATAGGTGTATAACAGCTCACTGAAAATGAGAGTTTACCTGGTCAGGTGCAAACTCGAAAACAAAAAACTACATTCAGCATCTGATATCTGCATGTTCTGAGTACTATATTCATAAAAAATAAAAAATATACTTTGTCAAAGTATTTAAACAGATTTCATATCACCAGATACAGTATAGTCAAGTGTGCACCTGTTTTTACCTGTTGTACACCTGTGTGCACCCAATTCATTTTTTTCCATTTAACTTATTCTAGTCATTTAGCTTATTCAACTTATTTTATTTATTCAACTCATTTAGCTTATTCAACTAATTTAGCTTATTATAATATAATAATATAATAATAAAACTCTTCCCCGTCAGTGTGTGTCCAGTATTTGTCATCTTGGTTATTTTCTCGTGTGCAGAGCTCCACATAAGCGTTTTTTTCTGTAGTGATTCTGTTATACATCGCATCTTGGAAAAAAAGACTGAAATATTTTAAAGGACTGGCCTGGGCAACATCCATATTTCAGGGCAATTTTGGTTCATAATCGAGTATAAAGCTCAGATAGTTTGTTGGGACATCGCAGGACTCCACACAGACGCATCAGTGGCATCTCACCTTCTCCCCGAAAGTCCGTCGCTGTCGCTGTTTTCCACTTTATAATCAACTTCAACATCATCACTTTGAAATCTATAAAAGTCACTTTCATATCCTTGAATCCTATTGGTCAGTCTAGTGTGGGTTGTAGTGGCCCCCACCGATCACAGTCTCTGTTTAAATGTGAAAAACCGAGCCATTTCTAAAGGTCGTCAAATCTCGTCTTTAGTGATACGGCGGAGGTGTCAAAAGTCGTCATTAAGGGTTCAGGGGGGGTCGTCAAATGTCGTCTTCATGGGGGAAAGAGTTAAACCCTGTGATTCGGTCGTACAGTTTGAGCTGGAGCTGAGTGAAACGATCAACAATATTGCTGTGTACATCCAGCTTAAGCAGTGAAAATCTTGGTTAAAGTGGTTGTATGTAAATGTCTGAGGGTGGAAAGTCAAATGGACGATTATATGGAAATAGAAAGTTAAAACCACACTTCATGACGATAGACAAGTTCTCTGTCATATTGTGGAATATTATATCCAAAGGAACAACATTTCCATGGGAACAAGGAGGCAGCCAAATAATGTTTTTACAGATTTTCCAGTTTTAGATTTCATTTCAGTATTTCTACAGTAAAATTATGATTTACTTGATTTCTTTGACTTCTCTGACGGCGTCGTTCTTCTGTTTCCTCGTGTCGTCCAGGTTTCTCAGAGCGTCGGCCAAATCGCTCACAGCTCGGTCCCTCTCCCTCCGCAGGTTATCGCACAGAGTCCTACAGAGGAATACAACATACAATGAGATATTTAAACAAGATTTCTCACTTAAGTTTGAACCAGGACTTAGGGTTTTAGCTGCCCTAGGCGATATTCCGAGGACTTTTCAACGTTCAAACAATAAATTTTGTTTAAAATAGTTAACTGCTATGGCAACTAGGGCTGAGTATCATTCAGAAGTTGCCGATACGATACATACCTCGATACAGTGCACTTTCGGGTCAGTATTTTCAATATATTTCAGTACTTTATTCACTATTCAGTATATTTCAAACTGATTCGATACGGCTAAATCAGGTCTGTGATACTAAAAGTCTTTTGTTAAGCCACTTTTTGTGCAAAGTTCATATGAAACACAAACATTTTAATCATCAGAACAGTGAAAATGTCAAATGTGTCGCATAAAGTAGCATAAAGCATAAAGTCGCAAAAAGTTTCCTTCAACTAAACAAGCAACAAAACTGTAGTGCTGTAAAATAATTTAGTAAAATACACCAAAAAATACTCTTGGTAATATATCGATACAGCAGCCCACCATATCAATACTGTATCATCATATTAAACGATACGATATATCGATATTTTGATATTTTTGCACACCCCTAAAGGCAACAGTCCCACTTTTTCATCATTGTGAAACCCAGGGATGAAAACAAATTGGAAAAAAGATCACAGAGAATTGACAAAAAAGCATTACTACTTGTCAAATTTGCCCAAACAATAGATTTTTTTCCTCTGATGTGACATGTCTCTCTTTTGTATTTAAAAAAAAACAGTTATTTTAAGATTATATTGACTGTATATTATCATCCACCTTCCATTTATTGCCTCCACCAAGGAGGTTATGTTTTTACCGGCGTTTGTCTGTTTGTTTGTTTGTTTGTTTGTCTGTTTGTTTGTCTGTTTATTTGTTTGTTTGTTTGTCTGTTAGCAACATAACTCAAAAAGTTATGGACCGATTTTGATGAAATTTTCAGGATTTGTTGGAAATGTGAAAAGGAAGAACTGATTTCATTTTGGGGGTGATCCGGAAGAAATCCTGGATTCTGGATCACTTTGAAATTTTTGTTAACATTGTGGTAAATGGGGCCAAAAATTTTGTTTCTCAATATCTCGGTTAATTATTGACCAAACCCCATGAAATTTGACTCAGGGATGGACAATGGGATCCTCTTTCATATTCCAAAGGCTGATCCGGATCTGATCCAGAAGACTGATTTTATCGCAATTTATATAAAAAATGGGGGTAGTCCTTGGCGGAGGTCTGCGCTCTCTGACTGCTTTTCTAGTTGAATTAAGTAGGAGTTTTGTTGCTAAAAACATGTGTTCTTACTGCGAGCGGCGTTGCCACTCCACAGATCTGAACTGCAATTTGGCCTAGTGGTGTCCATAGTAGTCTAATGTCATACTATGGAACATTCAAGACAAAGCAATAAGATTTCCATGAAGAAACGATCCAAGAAAGTTACACAGTGCGCCCTTAATTCCACCAAACGCTCTCATTCTCACCGTATGCTCTCCCTCTCGGCCACGATCTTGTCGCGCTCCTGAAAGGCCCAGTCTCTCCTGCACTTGGCGACCTCGGCCTCCTGCAGAGCGTCCTTCAGCTCCTGGGAGATCGCCTCGTACTGTTTCCTCAATATCTCGATCTCTTTATTCGCGCGCTCCATGTCCAGAGTCGCCGAGTCTTGTTTCTGAAAAAGAAATTGAAAATACTATATGATAAAATTAAAAAATTGGGATACGTGTCAAAATAAATGTGATACAAATGTGTAGTTCTTGTTTGTTTTTGTTTTTTTAATACATTTCTGTTGAACTTATAAGCAGTTTTAAACGAGTCAATCCCAAATCTACGGGTCGAGATTCTCAAGGGGTTCCCACTGTTTTTCACTGACAACATTTCCAAACTTTTCCATGACCTGAAGTGAATTTTCCATGACTTTACGGCACCTACATGTGTAGAATTGATCAGACTTTTAGGGCTAAATATGAAATGTTAACCCTTTCCACTCACTTTATGGTTTGGTATTATAGTTTTTTAACATTCAAAATTCTGTCAGTGCATTTATTGTCGTCTCTTTTAAACAAAAGGTGCATAAGTTCGGAAATAATCATAATAGTCTAATGATAATTTAACAGAACTCTGTACTTGCGTAAATGAGATACTAAAATTCCATGACATTTCAGTTTCTATGACTTTTCCAGGATTTCCATGACCGTGTGAACCCTGTTGGCCAAAATTTTTGATATAAACACTTAAATCTGTCAGTAAATGAGTTAAAAGTAGTGAAACTTATCTGTCCATGCGGCAAGATTCTTTTAAGATATAAAAAAAAATCCATGACTTTTCCAAAACTTTCATTGAATTTACAAATTTCCATGACTGTTCTAGAACTGGAAAAAGACACTTTCATTTTCAATTCCATGACTTTTCCAGGATTTCCATGACTGTGGGAACCCTGTCTTAGATAAGTGGTACTAGAGACTAAACTGTGAATTTTGATAACGGTTTGGCATATTGAATTGCTTCTATAAAAGGTGTTTCATAACCATTACTGTTTTATAGCGTCTTCATTAACAACAAAACAAATGTTCTTTATAAAGACAACAGCTTCTCAAGTAGGAGGAGGAGATTACAGATACAATACTAGTAATATATTGATACTTTGCAGTGACGTCACTTTTGGGGGTTTCTGCAGCAAAATTTTCCCCTTTTACCATTGAAAAGACACTCAAGGTTTTGTACAGTACGAGCCCCATGATGAGAACACTGTATTTAAATGGAGCTTCCCTTTATCCATAAATAAACTCATTATATTTACAAAGCTTCGCTGATTAAGGCTTGTGGGTCAGAGGCATTGAAATCTCCCACATCAAAGCTCCCCTCTGAATAATCTGTGTTTATACTTTAGTTTAAAGGTCCCACATTACACAAAACTGACTCTTGTGAGCTTTAAGTCACGTTATAATGCCGTTACCTCCTCAAAAACAGACCTGGATTGTTATTAATTAATCGAATATTGATCGCGATTTCGATTTGTGTGTCAAACAAACGATCTCTAAACTCATATAATCAAGCTGAAACGATTTAAAGCTTAACAAAGTGTATTTTGGGATTTTTTTTTGTATAAGTAAGTGTGGGGAAGCTGGCCAGAGTGGTCAAAGTAGGAGGCAGATGCAACAAAAAAAGTGTCCTTAACCAGACAACACTGACTTTAAAACAGACTTCTTTAATTAACACCAATGAAAGTACGCAGAAATATGCAATATGCATAAGTAACTCAAATCGAAAAACCCCAAACAACCTGCATAGAAGTCTCTCCCTGGCACCTGCTTGCCTTTTATACTCCACCCAGCAGGAAGTACCATATTTTCTGGCTATTAGTCGCTCTGGATTATAAGCTAACTTATCATTAAATGGTCTATTTTTAAACTTTTTTCACAAATAAACCTCACAGGACTTTAAAGGAAACACAACAGTGTGATGGGTGAGTGGTTTTGTTTGTTTGTTCGTTCACGGTGACTCTGGGCTTTGTTCAGTTGTGGCGTGTAGGGAGGTGCTGTCTGGGACCAACGGATTGTCGGCGTGTTCGCAGTGACTCAGTTGTTCAGTCGTGTCTAAAAGTGGCACGTCGCGCTCCCTTTTTCGGTTCGTTCCTCCGTTCCGTTCCTCGTCGGCGTGGAGTGATGAGTGTGTCTGTGGGTGTTTTTCGCTGTGCGGTCGCTGTCTGCTCCGTGTGTGTTTGCGTGCGCTGTAGTCGTGCTGGGACACCAGAGTGGATTCGTGTATAGGGCGCTCTGGATTGTGGCGCGCAGTCGTTTTTTTGACGGGGTTGGAGGCTTAAACATAAGACCTGGGGGGGACCGGGCCTTCTCCGCCGCTGCTCCCACCCTCTGGAACTCCCTGCCCAAACACATCAGAGACTCATCCACACTCCCCATGTTTAAAAAAGCCCTGAAAACCCATCTCTTTAAAAAAAAAAACTTTCATTAACCGTCTTTTTCTCTTGTTTGTCATTGTTTGTCTTCCCATGTAAAGCGTCTTTGGGTATCTTGAAAAGCGCTATACAAGTGTTATTATTATTATTATTATTATTATTTTTAAGAGCGCGTCTAATAGCCCGGAAAATACGGTAACTACAAAGCAAAGCAAGTCTTTTCAAAATTAAAATGTTTAACAGAAACTAAGGTGAATTTAAAATGCTGACAAACGCCCACTTTGTCACAATAAGTACATTTATTTTATTTTTTTACATAAAGAGATAGTAGAACAGCTGGATATATAGTTTATTTTGGACACATTTATGTTTTTCTATGTCTTATTTCATGATCAAAGTATATTTTATTTATTTTTTGTTTTATACATCACAAAACTGCTCTAAGGTTCATATTTGCAGCCTATATTTATTTTCAATTTGAAAGTTTTGCGTAAATTTTCAATAATTTTTTTTTTTTTTTGAGAAAGAAATGCTGAATAAATGCATCGTGTAACTAAAAAAATAATTGTTTGAATAATCGTGATTTCAATATCGACCAAAATAATCGTGATAATGATTTTGTCCATAATCGAGCAGCTCTACCCGGATTGTGTCACACATGTTTGACTAATCCTTTATTATTAGTCTGTCTACCTCCCCAAAGCTCAAAATGCTCTGCTCCACCTTGTGATGTCATACAGTGGTTATTTTCAAGTTGACACCTACTTTTAACCTTTTGTTCAACAGAGATTGGCAACTCCAGGGCTGAAATTATCCAAATGATTCTAGTGAAGGTGTATGGAGTTTAAAAACACGGTGGAGCACTTCCTGTATCAGCCTAAATATGCAGGATTTGTGCGTTAAATTTGTGTAAATGAAACAAAACACAACTCCAGGTCTGTTTGTGACGAGGAAAACTGCATTATAAAATAGATCAGAAAACAGCGAAAAACTTTGCCGCTACTTCCAAGGCAGTTTCCTAATTATCTTTTCCTGATACGCAGCGGTTTTTGAGCACTTCAAAGTCCAAAAAGCCAATTTAACAGAGACTGGAGGTAATTCTCTAATGTAGTGTTATATATAGACTTTGAGGCCAATTAATCTGGCAAAGTGCATCTGATAAAACCTGAGTAAAATCCATGAGTGGACCAGAGCCAGATGCTGAAAATAACTTTACGTGACGGGATGAAGGGATTATGGGCGTAGTGGGAGTAAATCAAGCTGTGAGTTTGTAAATCTGGTCTGTTTTGGTTCGTAGTGGTATAAATGCTTGGCTGACACTATAAAGAGTTTTTCATGAAATGCCATAATTCAGGTTTGAGTCGTTGGTTGTGTGGTCCCGGATTTGGTCCCTGATTCCGCACCGAGTTCAGGTCCTTTACTAGAACCATTTCAGTTTAAGACGTTGGTATGTTGTCTCTTCTCACAGTTTTCCAAAATATATTACAATCACAACTGAACCTGTGTCTCTAGAGCATGAGTGTCAAACTCATTTTGGTCCGGGGGTCGTATCCAACCGACTTTGATCCCAAAGGGGCCGGATCAGAAAACTTATGTCATATAAACCCCAAAAATAACAATAAGTTCAAATATTTGTGCAGAGAAACACAAATCTATTACAGAAATCTTTTTTAATTGATGAACTCTTTCTTTTACAAAATATTATAATATTATGAACAACCTGAAACTTTAAGAAAAATATAATTTCAACACAATGTTTTAACATGAACCTTGTATGTAAATAGGAATAAGTCAGTTTTTGTTGGAAAATCCTGCACTCGGCTCCACTTTTCTCATGTTGGACATTTTTCTGATGAGGGTGTCACGGTCAACAGTCAAAACGATCGTCCTTTAAGAGCGTTTGGAAAGAGACAAGTCTTCATTTGTGCTGCTCTGGTGGGAGGGGCCACGTACAGAGACGCTAGAGACGCTGATATGATAAACACCACAGAAAATTACCAATATTTTAATAGAAAATATAATTACAATATTTTAGTAGAAAATCAGCCGAGGGCCAGATTAAAGGTCTTGGAGGGCCGGATCCAGCCCCCGGGCCTTATGTTTGACACCTGTGCTCTAGAGCCTTAACCTGTAGATAGAGACACATACAAATTTTCCTCATTCTCAGTATCTGGACAGGCCTCATGTGAAAGCTCAGAACCTCCAGAATTCCCTCCCTGAGCTGCAGAGGCTGCACTAGCACCGACTCATGATTGGCTGCAGGTTCTGAGGTTTAGGTAGTGGCCATTCAGATCAGAAAGAGGCATTTTAGGTCTAAATCAACTGGATTTCAATGCTGAAACTGGCAACACAAATGAGACTCGTGTGAGGCTCATTCTGCTTTCTGATTGGATAATCGTCTTGAGAAACAAAACACCAAATTATAATATAAACAACTAGTTCATTATGGCTGGGTATTAAGGGTGAACAATCTATCGTTTTGGACTGAAAATCACAATCGCAGACAACATGATTTTGGGAGCGTCAAAGCCCAGTGCAGTGCTCCTGAAGCCCACCCTCTCCAGGCAGGCGTTGCAGATTTGCAACAGCTAAATGCCAATTACCTACTTACTCAAAATCCATATTTTATGAGCTTTTTTTTTTACTCAGGAACCTTTTTTCCCATCCATGCTGATAAACGTGGACGATGCAGACTGTGCAAGAATGACTACACACAAACGGCCTGCCAGAAGTGCAAAGTACTTTTGTTGTTTACAAAAGATAAAAATTGTTTCTTGGAGAACCACACGAAAAAGTGATGTTGTTCTGCCACTGTAAAGCTGTTACACAGTGTTTTATGTTTCCATTGTTATGAAAAGTGGTTTACACATAAATTTAGCGTCCATATCATTTTCAGTCTTCAGTGTTAATTTACCACACTGGACCAATGTTACAAATCTGCAACATCCCAGAACGCATTGGATGTGAAGGTCTCTCTCAAAAAAAAAAGTCAGGATTGTATATTCCTACCCCAGTTGATCATTTTCCCCAAATATCAGATTTTTTCCTGTTACTAAAATTTAATTTGAGCCTGAGAGGGTTAAGGGCGAAGTTTAGTTCTTTGTCGACTCAAGACACACTGCCACCACTGCCTTGTCGTTTTGATTTATGGGTCTACGTCGAGGTCCATGCGCCACAAAGTTATTCACCAGCACAGCGCTACGAGGCGAGGATTTAAAACTGGCATTCGTGTAAAGTTTAACATGAACCATCTCCAACGCGATAGAAGTACAGAACAGACTCACCATCATCAGCACATCCTCTATCACGATCATATTCCACTGAGTCGTGTGCTTTAGTCTGACAGAAGCTAAACCGCATCGACGGCACAGGGAGCGAGCCGTTTTTTTATTTATCACTTATAGTTTATGCAAATTAACCATGTGGTTTTAAGTTTAATTTCTATAAAACGTAAACAATCCAGCCTCAAATCATCAGTGCAGGACTCTGGTGTGATGTAAGTTTCTGTGATGTTTACAAACGTTCATGTGCACTGAAACTTTATTTGGAAAAAATACTGGATGAAATTGAAATCGCAATATCTGAGAGAAAAATCACAATTTACTTTTTTTTTTCTTGTAATGTTTACCCAGTGGGGCTGAACAATTATAATAGTTATCAGCAAAAGTTATATTTATTTGAGCATGTTTAACTCAGACCTGGGGACACAGATGTTATTGAAATTTAAAATCAAAATCCCATACAGTTCCTTGAAATTTTAACTCTTTCCCCCATGAAGACGACATTTGACGACCCCCCTGAACCCTTAATGACGACTTTTGACACCTCCGCCGTATCACTAAAGACGAGATTTGACGACCTTTAGAAATGGCTCGGTTTTTCACATTTAAACAGAGACTGTGATCGGTCGGGGCCACTACAACCCACACTAGACTGACCAATAGGATTCAAGGATATGTTTTCGCAGATTTTTTCCGAAGTTAATCGAAATAGTGACGATGGTAGCTTCTGGAAAAAACACAACACGAAACACGTGCAATGGAAAGATCGCGGCGCTGCGGCGCACAGTTTTAGAAATAATGAGGAGCGGACGTATTTTATGGATAAGTTTAGAGAAAGTGACTTTTATAGATTTCAAAGTGATGATGATGAAGTTGATTATAAAGTGGAAAACAGCGATAGCGACGGACTTTCGGGGAGAAGATGAGAATGCCGCTGATGCGTCTGTGTGGAGTCCTGCGATATCCCAACAAACTATCTGAGCTTTATACTCGATTATGAACCAAAATCGCCCTGAAATCTGGATGTTGCCCAGGCCAGTCCTTTAAAATATTTCAGTTTTTTTTTCCAAGATGCGATGTATAACAGAATCGCTACAGAAAAAACGCTTATGCGGAGCTCTGCACACGAGAAAATAACCAAGATGACAAATACTGGACACACACTGACGGGGAAGAGTTTTATTATTATATTATTATATTATAATAAGCTAAATTAGTTGAATAAGCTAAATGAGTTGAATAAATAAAATAAGTTGAATAAGCTAAATGACTTGAATAAGTTAAATGGAAAAAAATGAATTGGGTGCACACAGGTGTACAACAGGTAAAAACAGGTGAACACTTGGCTATACTGTATCTGGTGATATGAAATCTGTTTAAATACTTTGACAAAGTATATTTTTTATTTTTTATGAATATAGTACTCAGAACATGCAGATATCAGATGCTGAATGTAGTTTTTTGTTTTCGATTTTGCACCTGACCAGGTAAACTCTCATTTTCAGTGAGCTGTTATAAACCTGTAAATGAGTTGAATCACATTTAAACATCCATAAATGAATAGTTCAGAGTCTAAGGTTTCCAGAGATACAAATATGTCTGTGTTACAATTAAGTTCATGAGTGTAAAAATCATTTATAATCACTCGTGGAAGTCTGTTTTCTTTTATGCAGTTATGCTCTATGGGTGTAGCCCTAGTAACATATGTATGGGTTGTTCCTAGTCGGCGTCCAGGGGGGAAAGAGTTAAAGAAAGTTGCATTTGTCATGTCATGGAGCTTTATAGATATTTTACAACTATTACGAAGAGCACATTTCCTCCTCATAGTCGTACCTGTCTGGCCTGGTAGTACTCCCTGAGCAGCTGGTCTCTCTGTATTATGGCCTCTGTCCTCTCTTTTCTGGCGACGTCTCTCTCCTCCCTCACAGTCTCGATGTCTTTACAGGCCTGGCTCAGCTCCTTCTGAGTCTCGGCCTTGTCCTTCACCTCGTCACAGTATTTCTCCAGCAGCTCGTTCTTCTCACAGATCGCACGATCACGGTCCACCAGAGCAGAGGACAACTCCTGAGACACACAGAGAAAGACACACCGATTTCACATTGCACTTAGCACTTAATGCACATAATGAATAAACTTGAAGTAAAAGAAAAATGCCTTTAAAATTATGCCATCTCTCATCAGACCCGTCAACAGAAATTAGGGGGCTTGCGGCAAGGAAGAAAGGAAGCAAGCAAGCACGGAAGCAAGAAAGCAAGGAAGCAACAATGCAACGAAGCAAGCAAGGAAGCAAGAAAGCAAGGAAGCAAGGAAGGAAGCAAGCAAGCAAGAAAGCAAGGCGGCAAGAAAGCAACGAAGCAAAAGGAAGGAAGTAAGAAAGCAAGCAAAGAAGGAAAGAAAGAAAGAAAGAAAGAAAGCAAGCAAGCAAGCAAGGAAGGAAAAAAGGAATTAAGAAGTCTCAAATGGGCACCCCTCTAGCAAGCAAGGAAACAAGCAACCAAGCAAGCAAGAAAGCAAGGAAAGGAAGCAAGCAAGGAAGCAAGAAAGTAAGAAAGCAAGGAAGCAAGAAAGCAAGGAAGCAAGCAAGCAAGGAAGGAAGCAAGGAATGAAGGAAGAGGAAAAAAGGAAGGAAGGAACTATAAATAAATAAATAAATAAATATAAATTAACAGAAAGAGTCCAATTCTGGGCCCCTAAAACCCTGGAGCCCGGCCCAACAGACCCTTTGTCCCCCGTCTACTGCTCTGTCTCTCATATCGTCTCTCATATTGTCTCTCATATTGTCTCTCATATCTCTCATATTGTCTCATATGTCTCTCATATCGTCTCTCATATCGTCTCTCATATCATATTGTCTCTCATATTGTCTCTCATATTCGTCTCTCTCATATCGTCTCTCATATGTGTCTCTCATATTCGTCTCTCATATCGTCTCTCATATGTCTCTCTCATATCGTCTCTCATATCGTCTCTCATATATTGTCTCTCATATTGTCTCTCATATCGTCTCTCATATTGTCTCTCATATCGTCTCTCATATCGTCTCTCATATCGTCTCTCATATCGTCTCTCATATCGTCTCTCATATTGTCTCTCATATCGTCTCTCATATCGTCTCTCATATTGTCTCTCATATTGTCTCTCATATTGTCTCTCATATTGTCTCTCATATTGTCTCTCATATTGTCTCTCATATTGTCTCTCATATTGTCTCTCATATTGTCTCTCATATTGTCTCTCATATCGTCTCTCATATTTATCATCTCTCACCTGTCTGAGCGCCTCCAGCTCCTCGTTGGCCACTCTTCGTTCTGACGAGCTGTTCTTGAGTTTGGCCTGGGCCGTCTCCAGTCCGGTCTGCAGACGGTCCACCTCTTTGATCACCTGGTCCCTTTCACTCATGATCAGTCTGTACTCACACATCACAGAGTCCCGCTCCTCTCTGTATTTGTCACAGTCTTTCAGAGCTTTGAGCTGCTGGGTTTTCAGTCTGGTGGTCTCAGACTGAAGCCGCTCCATCTCCCTTTGCAGCTCTTTGTACTGAGCTGTGGCTTTTGATAACTCCAGCTGTGTGGAGTCAAATCTGAAACAGGAAACAAAAGTAAAGGCACATGTTAATACCTATTTTATCAATTTTATTCATAAAAAATTTAATTAGGGTAGTGGGGAGTCAATACAATCCGTGTATCATTCGTTCATTCGTTTTTCAATATAAAACCAAAAATAAGAAAATGAAAAAACAACTATTTTCTTCATTATTTGTCTCCAAAACCAAAATGAAAAAAATCGGATAATGATTCGGGGTTTTTTTCAGTTTTCGATTTTGTGTTTAAATGAAGAATGGAATCCGTGACTGCGATGCCGAACTTTTGTGCTGCATACGGACTGAACCAGGACTGATCCAGGTCCGGGACCACACTGGGACCAGACCGAGACCAGAGCGGGACTGAGACCGAGACCAGAGCGGACTCCAAGCTTTGACTCCAAGCCTCCGCAGGGTCCGAGCTTCAGCTTCGAGCTCCAGCCCTGCCGTGGGCTCTCAGCCTCGGGTCTGGGTCCGGTCTGGGTCCGGTCTGGGTCCGGTCTGGGTCCGGTCTGGGTCCGGTCTGGGTCCGGTCTGGGTCCGGTCTGGGTCCGGTCTGGTCCCGGACCTGGATTAGTCCTGGTTCAGTCTGTATGCAGTGCAAAAGTCCGGCATCGCAGTCAAGTCACGTAAACGGGAAACGGCCCTTATCCATTTTTTTCTTTAAACACAAAATCAAAAACTGAAAAAAACGAATCATCCGTTTTTTCATTTTGGTTTTGGAGACAAATAATGAAGAAAACTGTTGTTTTTTCATTTTCTTATTTTTGGTTTTATATTGAAAAACGAAATGAACGAATGATACACAGATTCAATACCTACGTTAGAAAATGCCATTACATTTTATTTATAGTCAATAAAATGAACAAAATCTGCTTTAAATGTAACATGTTCACAAAGTTTACAATACTAGTACATAAAAGGGCCCATATTACACCATTTTCAGATTTGTTATAATGTTGTTTCATCATCAAAAACAGACCTGGAGTTGTGTTTTGTTTCATTCACACATGTGTAACACACAAACCCTGCATATTTAGGCTTTTCTCAGACAAAAAACGCTCTGTTCCACCTTGTGATGTCATGTGGTAATACAGTAAGTGCTTTTAAACTCCATACACGTTCACTAGAATCATTTGGATAACTTCAGTCGTGGAATTGCCGATCTCTACTGAACTAAACGTAAAAGGAGCTGTCAAAAAAGTAGCTGGAACCACTGTGTATTAAAATAAAATACTGAAAATGTATATTAACTTTAAAAGGTACAATATGTAACTTTTCTGGTCTTACATTTATTCAATTTTGAGTGTTTTACTGCTCAAAAATACCTTAAAAAAGGATTACTGTGTGAGCTGGGTCCCTCCTCTACAGATCTGACCTGTAATTTGGCCTGGTGACGCCTCCTTTTTGACTTAATTTCGTACTGTGAGATATTCCAGGCGAGGCAATAGCATCTCCATGGAGACAAGCAGGTTCCAGAGTGCTTTAATACCCGTCTTCTGCCTCTTTTGAGCTACACATTTTGAGTTCCTCTTGGGGCAGCGAATCGTCTGATCTTCTGCTTACTCAGCCTAAATGCTCAAAGGAAACTCAAAGTGTCCAGTCACTCAACCGCGTAAAAATACATCAATTAATCAAGTACTTTAATAATTTAGACAGCCCCGGTTCAGCTCAAACATCTCCTTCATTGGAAACAGAAGTATAGTTTAGTAATGAGGTTTTCCAAATTGAGACATTACACAAAACAAACATGGCCTTTTGAGTTCGCCCGATTCATCACCTGGTTTCACTTTGTGGAAACTGTCTGACCTCGCAGCATTAGGATTCATTCGCTCTACGGTAGGCAGGTGCTTTTTTTTTATTTAAGCAATCGGTGCTATTTCGTCGTGACGTATGTAATGCGTTGGAAGGAGGACAATAAGGTCTTTCCCCTTGATAAAATTCACCAAACATTCTCTTTCTTCCGGCTTTAAATCCTCGATCTCGGGAATCTTTGCCAACACAGAATGTCTGTCTTCGTCTACATCCATCTCGACGCTTTGTTTACTGTTGTGCTGTTCCACAAAATGGACCCAGACAGACGCTTGAGTTTGACGTCATGGCTTCACAGCTCTTCTCTGATTGGCCGGTGTGCGATCTACAACTTCTGGGGTTCTTGCAAACTATCTCGTGTATTCTGATTCCTGACCTAGTTGCTGAAGAGAAATGAAATAGAGCGGAGGCACTAGGTGGCTACTTTTGAGTACCTTTGCTTTGGCGTTTCATGATTTAGAACTTAAAACAAACATAATTTCACAGCGTCAGTGCTCAATACTCTCTGCCCTGCTACATGTTGCCATCTACTGGTAGCGGAGTGAATTACCATGAGAAAAACAATTAAACAGCAGTAGAAGGGATGTAACAATAACCGAAATATTGTCAGAGTTCTCACAATAATATCGTGGACCATCACGTTATATCGAATTACAAGTCTCTTTGCTTAAATTAAGAGTTATGATGCAGCAACAGCTAAAAAAAGACAGAACTACATAGACCATGATCCTTTGTTCCATTTCAGTGCAGACTACAAGAAGAAATAACAGTTCTAAGCACTTTTTAAGTCTTAGTTTTTTGGATAAAGTCTTGTTAAAGCATTTTAAGAGGAAAAAGTCGCAAATTAACAGTTTTAGCTGTTTAGCCTCCACAAAATATCACAATAAATATCGTAACGTGAGATGTATATCGTGAAAATACTGTATTGTTACACTTGGATATGATTTGGATATGATTGGATGTCAGAAATGAGTAAAACAAGTCTGGCAATGATTTATAGATTTAAAAACTAAGCAGGTCTCTATCTGTGACATCACAATCCTGGGAAATTTTAAACACGTTCGATGACTGCTCAAAGGCAGAGGACCTTTTTTTTTTTCTTTTTACAGAGGATTAATAAAACCAGTGAGAATGACGTGAAATACAACTCCACCTGAACCCCATTCCACCACTTGGCCATACCACTTTCCCCTATCCCGCCGTTATGAGCGTTCACGTGAAGGGGTTAGGGGTATCCCAGTTACCGTTATGGCAAAGAGGGTAGGGGAAATTGGTAGGGCTATATGTCCCTCCAAACGAAGATTTTTCAGAGACACACTCCAAACAGAGAGGTATGAGCAATTTCCCAGAATGCCTTGCGAATCACTGGCAAGATGGGTGCTACCACGACCACAGAGACCAAAGAATCCACAGTTGTAGGCGACATGTTGGATTTCTGGCAAAAGCTCGTCGCGTCTGCTTACGGAGACGACTGATAACGTTTGTGATTGTTGAAGGGGTGTCCCAGTTCGTAGGGGTTTATTTCCAACCCCTACCCCTTGTTGCTCAGTTTCAAGGGGAAAGTGACAAGGGGTAGGGGTAGAAATTAGAAATGGGATTAGCCCCAAATCTGCTTTTAATGAGAGAACATTCTAACATGGGTAAAAATAAAAAATAAAAAGTCAATTTTGCATAAGGTGTTTTTTAATTTAGAAAATGGGAAATACTTATCCCACCGTGAACAAAAATGTTAAAGGTGGATAAATGCCACAAAAATGCTTAACTCATGTATAAAAAAAGTGCTGTCTTTTAAGCATTATGCAACTAAAACTTTAATTACCAGTTAAACAACAAGAAAAACTGCAAAATCTCACTGAATCAAGATCATGTTTCTAAATTTACATTAATGTATTTGGTTGAACGAACAAGAGGCTTAAATAAACCCACAGCAGAAGGTGAACACATCTGTCCTGGATTATTTCTGGTTTAATCTCATTGTGATTCTAATTAAGATTCAGAATGCAGATTAATTTGCCTCCTGCCAGTTTACCCGTGTTTAGGCTTTGGCACTCGGTGGTGGTAAGACATAACGTACACTTCGCTGTCCCCACAGGGAAATTCATCCTCTGCATTTGACGCATTACTGAAGCTGCAGTTGCGCTGGAGCAGATGGATATGCAACCGCCAATCTGCCCCAGTGACTTCCCTATCCTGTGCTGTATTGTCATTTATTATATTCATTATACTCCCTGAATCAGTTGGTTAAATGGGTGATTGTTCCTCCTCAGCGCCGCCTGGACTCTCTGTACTCAAGTTACAGAGGATGTCCCAGAGTATTTTAAAAGAAGTGCAATATCCACTAAACTCAGAGTTTCAGCTGCTTTTCTTTTAGTTCCAAAACAAGAACATGTCTACTACAACACTATCTACTACTACAAACCATTCTGCACTGGAGCACTGTAACACTTTATTCTGTAATTATGTGTTTATACGTCTTTATTGCGCATAATGTGGATGAATAAAATGTGAAATGTGGTACCAGCCTCTCAAATCTGCAAAACAAATTTACCTACAGGTACGAATAAAGCAACTCAACCAAATCTAACCCAACTCAATTCATTATATTTTTTCATTTATGCAATTTATTTGGGCAATTCAATAAGGACAATAAAATGTACAATAGGGCTGTCGCGGTCTCCTGCGGTGTAGCGGCTCAGCAGCGCAGTATGCAGTGATACCGTGACACTAGTGGACTTAAAAGAGAGAGAACCCCGAGTTCGTGGAGCAGGGTGTCTGCAAAGCACGATCGGGCAACTGCTGCGCTTAGGCCCATGGGGCGCAGAGCTCTACGGTCCTTTCGCCCGTGGTCACCCGACGGGCTACACGGGCGCACCTCCAGGCTATCCCGACAGTGAGTCCTCGTTTTAGTCCTCGTTTTAGTCCTCGTTTTAGTCCTCATTTTAGTCCTCGTTTTAGTCCTCGTTTTAGTCCTCGTTTTAGTCCTCGTTTTAGTCCTCGTTTTGTTTTGGTTCAGTCCTGGAATCAGTCCTGGGTTAGTCCTGATTCAGTCTGTGGCGTGTGCGGCACAAAACTCCAGCATCTCGATCAATGTTTCTTCTACTCAGTAAAAAACGTCTGTGAAGTGATGACAGTCGAGTCGCGTCTGTGAATTTGTGTTTGTACTGAAGAAAGTGTAACTTTCATTTCATTCCGTGATTGTAATTCTTCAAGTTGTAACCTTTCAATTCATATTCTGATGGATGCTTCAGTTAGAATGCTTTTAATTTTTGTGTGATTTACCACGGGTTCGGGCAGGTGCGGGTCTCCAAAAATGGACCCGTGCAAAACTCTCAACAGAATTATAACATAGATCAGAAAATGGCATAATACGGACCCTTTAAAATCTGATACACAAAGGAAACAGTCAGAAAAAACTGGTAAATTCCACTTAACAAAATCCACTAGTGTTTTATCTTAGCTCCACAGACCTGCGTATAGAAGTTGAGTACTGCTGCTGGTAGTGGAAGGCAGCGTCTCGTTGCTTGAGAAGGACCTCGAGTTGTTTTTGGAGCTGATGGTTCTCCTCCTCGGCCTGGTCCAGTCGGCTCAGGTCTGCGTTGTGACTCGCCATGTTGTCATTGTAGCGTTTCCTCAGAGTCTCGTAGTCGGTTTTCAAAGCCTCAAACTTGTCCACGGCGCTGTCGTACAGTTTGGTCAGAACCTCCGAGGAGCCCTCTCTCATCACCTACAAGAAGAGAATATAGTTAAAAGATGCATTGTGTAACTTTTCTGCTGGAGTGTCCATCAAACACTTTCTTCCAAGACCAAGTTACAGGTCAGATCTTATTATAGGTATTTTTGAGCTATAAAACCACCTGTAATTGAATAAATATAAAGTACAGCTGTTTAATGTCACACTGTGAAATATTTCAGGCAGAGCAATGACGTATCCATAGAAACAAGAACCCCAACCAAACTCCAACCAAAAAGTTACACAATGCACCTTTAAAAATGATCAAGGGAACTTTTCAAATGAAATGTTGTATATTATTTTGGGGCGTTTCAATGTCGATGATTGTACTCGTATTTTGAAAAGAAGGCAAAGCGAGTTTATCTACGACAGACATGTCAAACTCAGGCCCGGGGGCAAAATATGGCCCGTGATATAATTATTTTTGGCCCGCGAGATCATATCAGTGTCATCAGTGTATTAGAGCTGCCCGCCGGCTACAGAGGCTATAGAGATATTATTTAAAATTGTGTTGTTATTTTATATTTTGCTTGTTCTGGATTCAATGTTTAAGCAAAACTATTATAAAAACATTTACTTTAATAAGAAAAGATTTAACATTACATATCTCGAAAGAAGAGAAAACCTGCAGATGTTGATGAAACTTTTCAATAAATATTTAGTTTGGTCCACGACTTTGTCCAAGTTTTTAATTTTGGCCTCTGTCAATTTGAGTTTGACACCACTGACCTACGAGAACGAGACAAAACGAGATGTTACTCACCATTTTTATTTACTTTACACACATTAAAAAGGTACACTGTGTAAGTTTTTACTTGGTGTCCGTCACCTTCTTGTTTCTATAGATATGTCACTGCTCTGCTTCAAATGTTCCACAGTGTGACATTAAACAGGTCTACCTTAAGTTTATTCAATTACAGATGGATTTATAGCTCAAAAATACCTTGAAAAGCATCAGAGCAGGGTTGCCTCTCCACAGATCTGACCTGTAACTTGATCAGAACAAGATTTTGACTTTTTATTTACTTTGTTTAATATTTCTGCTGTCACTGTAGCACTGCTTTTTGGGGCTACAGCTGCTCAAAAATGTAACCTGCCAGTACTTTGTTCAATTTTTTTTTTATCCAAATCAAAAAAAAAAAAATAAATCTCAAGATCATTTTCAGGATCTTGTGGCACGAGATCTTATCCCATCCCTAATTATTTGTATAGCACAACTCGTACACAAACTAAAAGTGCTTTACAGAATAAGAACAAATATAAACAGATCAGAACATAAAATTAACATTAAAAGTTGCACTGTGTAACTTTTTTGGTGGAAAATTGCGTCTTTGCCCCCCTCAGAGTTCGTGGAGAAACTCGATTTTCCAAAACCTTTGCGATCTGGCGAACGATCTTAGAAAATGTGTATCAGTTACAATAATCAGATTAGTTTAGATTAAGAACCCCGAAGGACAGGTCTGACTGATTCTTCAGCCAAGAAAGGATAACAGCAAACGATGGTGAGTTAATTACGGAAGGAAGTCAAAAAGGGAGTTAATTACACGGTTATATTTGGTACATGTCTTTTCAATAAACAAGCACTGCTCCTTTGAGAACTGATACTTTGCTGGGGGTGTTTTGCATGTATGTGTACGGCAGATTGTTCAAGAAGAAGTTACCATGGAGACACAAAGCGCACATTAACAAACAAACAATGCCCAAAAAAAAAGTTAAGATTGCCTGAGAACTCAAGAAAAACACAAAAATTGATTTAAGCAGGACATTTTCAGGAGCTTGTGATTCATTTAATAAAAGTGTTCATGGTCCTGTTTAAAAGTTTGATTTAAGATAAAAATGAATGGATGTAACAATATCCAAATCTCACATTATAATATTTGTCCTTTTAAAATGCCTTGACAAGTCTTCAGTGTGAATCATTACGGTCACTGTTGGGCGAGTTACTTCAAAACTGTAATGTGTTATATATTTATGACTTGTTATTGTCATTTCAAAGTGATTCGTTACATTACAATATGACTGTGTTTAAAATGTAAAATGTAAAACATTACACGACTATTACAGCACTTTAATTTACTCTCACCAAAATAACTGAGCGAAGATGCTGAAATTTTGCGCCGTATATGGACTAAACCAGGACAAAACCAGGACTAAACAGAGTCTAGCTCAGGACTAAATCAGAGCTGAAACAGGACTGAACCAGAACTGAACAGAGCACTGAACCAGGACTAAACCAGGTCTAAATCAGGACTAAATGGGAGCTGAACCAGGACTGAAAAACCAGGACTGAACCAGGACTGAACCAGGAGGACTAAACCTGGACTAATTTTGGACTAGGACTTAGAATCTAGGACCACCCCTGAGAGAACCCTGAAGCCGTGGAGCAGGGCGTCTGCAAAGCGCGATCGGGCGTCAGCTGCGATTCGCCCCATGGAGCGCGAAGTTCTGCGTCAGTCCTTTCGCCCGCGGTTACCCGACGGTCTACACGAGCGCACCTCCCGCCTGTCCTGACATTTGGAACCGTAACGATGGCGTTTCACCGCTGCTGATATCACGGTGATTTTAGGGAATTTGTATGAAGAAAAACGAAAAACCCACCACTTCAATCCAAGTTAAAAAAGCATTATAACGCGAGATACTGACATTTGTGCTGAGTAAAATATTACAGTTTTTTTCCCTGTAATGCCACATCACTGCGTTACAGCAAAAAGCAATGCATTACAGTAATTTGTTGTATAACGCGTTACTCCCAACACTGATTAGAGTCATATTCCAAAGAATGAAGACTTATAAGTGCTTAATAACAGTGTTTTTAATCATGTAGTCTGCACTGAAATGAAGCAAAGAATCATGGTCTATGTAGTTCCCCTTTTTTTTTTATACTTTAAAGTGAAAAAGTGACAGTCCACGATATTATGAGCGTTTTGCCAATTTGAAATCATGATATTTAGGTAATTCCTACAAAAACATACTTATTTAAAACCTCAAATCAGCTCACCTGTTGAAGTTCCAATTAAATTGGTTCTTTACGGTGAGATTGTGTTGAAATAAAACTTAAGACTAGTCTAACAAAGCCTCAGCACAGACAGAGCAGTGCCCACAGTTGGCATCACAGGTTAGGTTCTTTCACTCCGCCTCCTGTGAGTTCAAATGAGTCCGCTGTTATGTAAAGCATCCAGCATTACTCTAAATTACCCCTTCATTTTATGAGGAAGGAGCGGACACTTCACCGGTGTATAACAACTTTTACAGTGAGAGTTATCGTGGAGCTGCCAGGCCTGATCTAATTTAAATTTAAATCAGAGCCTGGGACATTGAGATAGACGGTTCGTTCTTTCTTTTATCAAATATAAAGGAGGAGAGGTGTGGTTATGTAACCGAGAGGAGACAGGAGCTGCACTGTTGATAAAGCGAGTACACAGAGAGTCCCCTCCGGTCAACCGGTGGTCACAGATGATAATGAGGTTATTTTAAAATTAGGAAAGAAAAATATCTTTGGTGTCCTTGTAAACAATCACATTTTGGTGATCTGTGGTAAATATAAAGTTGGAAATTTTAGTACCGTGACACTTTGAGGGTGAGCTCACACTGGCCAGACAAAGAGTGCCCAAGCACAGATACTGTATGCCCTAAAGCGCGGTACACTTGTCCAGTGTGAACGTAAAGTGCTTGGCCTAGAGGAGGAGGGGCCAAAGCACGGTACAGAGCTCATGTGCACTCATATACTGCGTGTATCATACTCACACAAAGAAAACAGTGAATAAACTCTGCTCCAAAACAATTTGCTCTGAATCTGCGCAAAAGTTTTGCAGCCTCTCGTCTCCAGCCGTCCTCACTCCTCCAGCAGTTTTTATATCCATAAACTCAAGGAGACACGCATGTCGCAGCAGGACTCAGGTCTGTCTCACTATTTAATAGATATTTCATGCCACTGGACTTTTCTCCGCTAAAGCATTATCTCTATTGTGCAACATGTAAAAAACCACCGCTGTGTGATGCTGTTTTTGGTTTGGTTGTGCAGGTGTGAGTGTGGGAACTCTACACAGTTGTGCTTAAGCAGGGATGTCAAACTCAAATTCACAGAGAGTTAAAATTAAAAACTGGGACTAAGTTGTGGGCCAAACTAAATATTTACTGAAAAATTTCAACAATATCTGCATGGTTTCTCTTCTTTTGAGATAAGAAAAGCTTTAACATTACATATCAAAATAAATGTTTAATAATAGATTTGCTTAAACATTGAATCCAGAACAAGAAAAATATAAAATCATAACAAAATTTTAAATAAATAATGTCTCTATAGTCTACTTGTAGCGGGCGGGCAGCTCTAATACACATTTGATAGAATCTCACGGGCCAAATATAATTATGTTGCGGGCCAAATTTGGCCCCTGGGCCTGAGTTTGACATATCTGTGCTGGAGCCTACAATGTACACTGTACATAAAGAATCCATAAATATACTATTTATGTACACAATAAAAAAGTTGGGGGTTACACAGTACATTTGGCTGCTGATAAACGATCTGTAACAGTTTGTTTTATACTATAATATTAACTATGGCTTGTTACGTGTTGGTTTTGTATTTACTCATGGTCAGTTCTTTACCTGTTGGTGCAGTATCCTCATGTCCGCCACCTCCCTCTGGCCCTCCTCGTGCAGTCTCCTCAGATCCTCACAGGCCTGCTTCACGTGGTTGTGCTCTCGGACCAGCTGCATGTTGTCCTGTCTCACCAGCTCCAGCTCCTCCTTCATCTGAGCGTGTTCACTCACCAGGCGACTGTGCAAGGTGCTACGGGGAAAATAAACACACAACTGTAAGACTACTTTTCAAATTATACCTATGTCAATATTAAAATACAATTGGCGCACAAAATTAAAAAGGTGCTGTATTTGATTTTTACAGACTTAAACTATTACTCCTCACTTCTTGTGTACATAATATATTCACACTTTAGTAACTACAGTTTGTCATATCCAGACACAGCGCAAATGGTACCAAAAATATTGTGAATTTAGGAACCAGCAATCAGAATAATTTTAAGAGAATCATTAAAACATCTGTACATTAGAATCACATTTCAGAACATGTTTGTACAGAACTAAACTACAGGGTTAGCAGTTTTTATGCAGAATAAAACAGGACATTTAGTCGTTTGTGGAGAAAATGATGGTTCTTCAAAAAAAGCACCTGTTCCTTTGCGATTTGATTATTGCATCCATTCAAATTGTGTTTATATGATTCAATAGTAGGGGTATGAACCTAACGGTACGATATTTATTGCGATATCATGGGAAAGCTCACGATTAGAGAAGTAATATCCAAATCTCTCGGTAGGATATTTTCACTCTATACATTTCACGGTACGATATTTATTGCGAAATTTATGGAGTAAGAAAGCTGTCAAAAATATTCGTGCGCATAAAATAGAAATCCGTGCATATTTGGGAAATCCGTGCATATTTGTCTGTAGTTGCGCATAAAATAAATATTTGTAAACTCTCAAATGAGTCCAGTCGTACATAAAATATATTGTGTGTATTTTATCCATCAGAATACGAATTGAAAAATTACGACGTCATGAATTACAATCACGAAATGAAAATTTACGATTACACTTTCATCAGTACGAATACGAATTCACAGACGGAACTTTACTGTCAAAAATACGTCATCACTTCACAGACATTATTCATCGAGCAAAAGAAACATCGATCAAGATCAAGACTGCGCAGCTCAAGTTTGTAGCAGAGGGTAAAAACAGAGTAAAAGCACAAGAAGCTACAACAGCGACCAACAAGTGGGTTAATTAAAATCTATTGTAAAAATGTCTTGAATTCGGGAACCGAACGCTGCTGTATAATATTGTGTAGAAACACCTCCTTTTGAACGGGAAATTGCACCTATATGTTAGATAACAGAGTGGAGCCAGTTGGCAACATCCGACGTAACGTTATCCCAATTAGCAAATATCAGGTTCTCTGTATGTTTAGATTAAAACATTCACGACTACAGCCACAGCGAGCATCAGCCAGTCTTCATCTCAGCTGCATTTCAGACAATGGGTTTTTCATGAGTTATAATGGGTTATAATGAGCAAATCCATCCACGTCACGGTGACGTTAAACTTACCGGTAAATACTGTAAACATACCAAGGTGTTGCCTGTAAAACACAAACATTAATTGTTGCTGGAAGCTGCATTAAACTGTAATGTGTAACATTTCATTAGCTGTGACGTCTGTAACCAGGACAGTTTGGTAGTGTTTGGTGTTTGGTGTAAACTGGGACATTTCAGCGTCCGGAGGAACTTTTGGTGGCATTTCATGCGAGAAATGCAGCTGAAGTGAAGACTGACTGATGCTCGCTGTGGCTTTCTATTTTATGCGCACGTATATTTTTGACAGCTTTCTTACTCCATAGAAATTTTGGGGAGCTAACAAAACTGTGAATGTGCGACTTTATCCCTCTTAAAATGCCTTGACAAAACTTAACCCAAAGAACTTAAAAGTGCTTAGAACTGTTATTTCTTCACGTAGTCTGCACTGAAATGGAGCAAAGGATCATGGTCTATGTAGTTTAGTTTTTTGTTTTTTTGTTATTGCTGCCCCATAACTCTTAATTTAAGCAAAGAGACTTGTAATTCGATATATTGTGATGGTCCACGATATTATTGTGAGAACTTTGACGATACGATATCACGGTATTCCGGTTATTGTTACATCCGTATTCGAGAGTGATTCATCTTGCAGCTCTACCTGAAGCAAATACATTAAATACGTCATTGCTCTGCTTTAAATGTTCCACAGTGTGACATTAAACAGCTCTACCTTACATTTATTCAATTACAGGGGGTTTCATTGCTAAAAAATAACTAGAAAAGCATCAGAGCGGGGTTGTCTCTCCACAGATGTGACCTGTAACTTAATCTAGTTCGTTCTCTGCGAAGATAGAAAGTTTTAATGCCATACTGTGAAACATTCCAGACAAAGCAATAACATCTCCAGCAGAAAAGCTACACCATGCACCTTTAACATTCATATCCCGGGCCTGTGTCCCTGTTTGCACTGTGCCACAGATTAACCTGAGTGCAGCTACACATCTGGGACCTATTGTAAAGCTCTGACCTGGAGTTAACCCCGAGTCCCAGTAGAAAAGATGAACAGAATTACAGAGACAATATCTACTTCTGAATAGAGGCACTAGGGCTGCATCCTTTTAAAAAATACTGTATTTTTTTAACTGTAAGTCGCACTTTTTTTCATGGTTTGGCTGGTCCTGCGACTTATATATTAAAATTTTCAGACTGACAGCCACCAGCGGGCGCTCTAGTCTTGTGTACCAGCAGTGTTGGGAAGGTTACTTTTAAAATGTATTCCCCTACAGATTACAGATTACATATCCCAAAATGTAGTTTGTAACGGAATCCATTAAATTACTTAAAGTGAGTAACGTAATCTGAATACTTTGGATTATTTGTATTGTCATGCTTTTTAAAACTACATGAATGTAACAACCACATCCTGAAAATTCATGTTTGTTCTCTTCAAATTGGCCCTGGTTTAGTCCTGGTTTAGTCCTGGTTTAGTCATTGTTTTAGTCCTGGTTTAGACCTGGTTTTAGTCCTGGTTTAGACCTGGTTTTAGTCCTGGTTTAGTCCTGGTTTAGTCATTGTTTCAGACCTGGTTTAGACCTGGTTTTAGACCTGGTTTTAGTCCTGGTTTAGTCCTGGTTTAGTCCTGGTTTAGACCTGGTTTTAGTCCTGGTTTAGACTTGGTTTTAGTCCTGGTTTAGACTTGGTTTAGTCCTGGTTTTAGTCCTGGTTTAGTCCTGGTTTTAGTCCTGGTTTTAGACCTGGTTTAGACCTGGTTTTAGACCTGGTTTAGACCTGGTTTTAGACCTGGTTTAGACCTGGTTTTAGACCTGGTTTTAGACCTGGTTTTAGACCTGGTTTTAGACCTGGTTTTAGTCCTGGTTTAGTCCTGGCTTAGCCCAAAATGTGAAAACAGGAAAATCCCTCTGTGTAATCCATTTATTTTAACAAAGTAACTGTAATCCAATTACCACTCACTGAAACAGTAACTGTAACTGAATACAGTTACTCATAATTTGTACTGATTACGTAACTCTGGTACATGTAATCTGTTACTCCCCAACACTGTGTATCAGCATCTAGTACTACTATTACTCCTGTACCACTGTCACTTCGACTCTACTGCGCATGTCTCCTGTAGAAAAAGCCGCTGCCTCGCTGCAAATAGTGAAATATTCAGCCGAAAAAGGTAATCGAGCTTTGAATTTTGAGCTTTGGAGATGTAAACAGACTAATGATAAAGAGTTACTCAAACATGTGAATGAAACAAAACACAACTCCAGGTCTGTTTTTGAGGAAGTAACAACATTCATTTATTTATTTATTTCGGTCACAGGTATATTTTGACATTAATTCATAAACAGTCATATTTAACATATACAGACCGAAAAGGTGCAGGCTGAAGCTTAAGCTTATTATGCCTTTACCCTTTATTCCTTTGTCAGAGCTTCATCTTGACACCAGTTCATCTTCATAAATACAGCAGGAAGAAACAAGCTAATCAGTAACAGAACAACAAAGTTCTACAGCACAAACTAAGTATCATGTTTCATGTCTCTGTCCAGAGTTAAACATTTAAACTTCTTTATGAAGTGAAAGAAAGTGGTGCACAATTTTAGGTTTTCTGTACAGTTGTTCCAGAGCTCCGCCCCTTTAACAGATTTACAAAATTTCATAATGTTTGTTCTGATTTTCTTTTTAATAAACATGGTCGTGCCTCTGAGCTCGTATCGGCTCTTTCGGATTTTGAACATGTTCTGTAACGATTTCAACAGGAGATTGTTGTTTACTTTGAACATGATTTTAAGAGTGTAAAAGTCGACTAAATCGTAAAATTTCAGCGTTTGAAGATTTATAAATAATGCATTGGTTGGTTCGTTATAACAACATTATAACATGAATTAAAGCTCACAAGAGTCAATTATGTGAGACTGTGATGTCCTTTTACCTTTAGTTCAGTAAAGACTGGCAATTCCAGGGCTGAAATTATCCAAATTATTCTAGTGAAGGAGCACAGACTGGAAAAAACAATATCTAGGTAAGTTAAAATGACTTAAATTAAGAACATTTAACTTTATTTGAGTCGATTCAACTTGACAAGTAAAATTATCAACCAATGGAACAAGTTGGTCTGTCTTAATTCAAGCAACATTAAATTTAGTTTCTTATTTTAAGTACAAAAAGTCTTCTTCCACTGGCAGATCATTTTACTTGTCAGGTGAAATTTACTCAAGTCACGATGAAACTTTCAATTCAAGTCATCTTAACTTGGCTAGATTTAGTTTCTCGCAGCGTGGAGTTTAAAAAACACAGTGGAAAACAGAGAGCAAAGTAATGTGGGCCCTTTAACATATGAAAATAGATCACTTCCAGATGATCGTGTACCAAAACTTTGCCCCTGCGTGATTTCCTCGTACGGTACCAGCCTAATTTGAGTTGTGAGATTGGAGTAGAGGGAGCAGCCTGGGTCGGTTCAGAGGGAGGTCGGCTTAAACTCTAATCCCTCATCTGTCTGTTTGCATTTGGGCCAGATGTCTGTCCCCTACACTTTTAGACTCTATGGCATCAGTAAATTACAAATACTCCACACACACTCAATGTCCTACCACGAGTTTTAATACTTCGATGCAAAAAAAACCCCAAAAAAACAACTTTGGGGTATCGAACTCGCAATTTGAATAGTCACAATTAGCAAATCA